TTCTCTCATACGCATTTCCCCCTTCCGGCAAATGACAGCATCCAAACCTGTTGAGCAACCAAGATAATTCCCTCATAGTGCATCGACACAGAGGAGCGCCCTCCTGGCCAGTCAATCTGAGGTATTTTCAAGTTGTGGTTGCAGAACCGGGTGTGACTGACCAGTGCTGGTGTTGATAATGAGCAGCCATCCCCTCCATCGCATTTCGGACTGCCTTACGCGGCGCCACAGAGGCTTTGGACATCACCCCCGCATTGGCATGTTTACGAATACTACCCCGCTCACTGGCCAAGACCTGTCAAACGAGGCTGCATCAAATGTGGTAGACTGGAATAGGTCGAAAGTACTGTACAGGACTGTACATGAGTACTACAAATGACCTCATTTATGGACAGCTGGCGCCAGTGTCGTGTGGTCCAGTCTCCCAAGCACGAGGAGCCGACAAATCGCGCGACTAGTTGACTTTGCAACATGGAATGCTCTAGCACCTGGCTGTCTCTGCCACGCCTTGGCACGTTCGTGTTATCCATCGGGGCCATCATGTCATCTCAGCACTTACCATGGTCCCCGGGAAGTTATTCTCCTCAGCCACAACGTAGCGCTGGTGCTGGTGGAGGAGATAGTGGGCCCCAGATATGTGGCTGAGTCTGTGACGCAGGGGTCGGAGACTCGGAGCCCTACCAGGCGGGAATAGCGTTGACGATGAGACGTTACTGAGTCATAGAGAACTCAACCGAGGCGTAGCTGGATTGAAAGAAGTCCAAGCTAAAGAAAGGAATGTCAAATTGACTACCAAACTGTAAACGTAACCTAATGGCGATGGATGACGCGCTCTCTGTTTGCACACATCTTGCCTTCTTCTGACCTCGGCCATGTGACGCGTTACCCAAAGCTGTTGCCAGCCGTGGCAACGACCCAAGCATGCAGTGCCCGTCCAGGATGACGATGTTGTATGATTGGGTATGATACGGGTGACAATACAGGTACGTCGGACTTCGGAGGAATCCCTCCGACTGGGACGAGGCTAACATCTTGCAGACAGTCGACCAATGGAAAGCTCCGGATTCCCAGATCGCTGTCCACAAATATATTCAATGGGTCTTCCAAAGGCAAGGCGGTCTTTATCGATCTGATAGGTATCGTAATTACCTGTACGTAGGGTAGGTAAAATATGGGCATCTTCCTCGGTGATAGTCATGGATGTGTCTCACTCTTATTGCTGCGTCGATAAATTGGTTATAATAAAACAGTGCTCTATACTCCATAGACGGCACTGTGCCGGGAAGATAGATCGATAGCCCTAGGTGATTTATTCTTCCAGGAGTGAGTGAGGCGTGGCCTCGGGGGCAGGTTTTCCGTAGTCGCAATTCGATCACAAAATTGGGAGGTCTCCATGTTCTGGGTCCCAGCATTCTGACATGGTCCTGGGGAGTTCGTCCATCCCCTTGCAGGTTGCAGACCGATTGAGCAAGGTGAAGTATGAACTAATTGGCATCTTCGACTACCCAAGAAAAGAGGAAGTTATTTCGTCGATTGCACTAGAAACATTTAGCCTGGTTTACCACCAAGCCCTAGAATGGATACCAGGTCGACGGGCTGCAGAAGGGAACCGTACGAATTCGATCGACGGGAACCCAGATTAACAGCCCTCATGCCCCACCAGTGGAGTGGATAGATACAGTAAGGTAATCAATCATCATCCGTCGTCAATTGTTGCTGTGTTTTGCGACTCAACTGATTGCCGAGCCTCTAAAGATAAAAATAAATGAAAATACCGACAGAAGAGCGGGATCCGAGTCCTCATGTCGGAGATAAGCCGATGACCTCAGCACGGTGTAGCTGCCCTTGGCAGGCCTTGGAAGGGTGAGCTGATAGGATGCAGTGCAGGAGGGGGAAGGGGGGGAAAGGTGAAAGAGAAAGAGAAAGTAAAAGAAAAAGAAGAAAAAAAAGAAGAAACAAAAGAAGAAAAAAAAAGAAGAAAAACAAATGAGGGTAGATGATTAAATAACACGATACGGGAGTACTCCGTAGATAACAACCTACAGTAACTAACAAGAGGGAGGGAGTTGGACGCCAAACGGGGCAGGCAAGACGGGACCATGGACCATGGGCTTCCTCCCCTTTCATGGTTAGGTGCAGGATGATCATGCTGGGGCTTGGCCGGCATCATTGGCTTGCCGCTCACGCCAAGGGCCCCGGCCGGCCGCTCGTCCTTATATTGTCCTCATTTCGCTGTCTGTCTTGCCCTCTCCAACTTCCCATAAATCCACTTGAAGCTTGGCTTGCTTCTTCCTGTGTGTTCAGACACAGTTTTCTTTCTCTTCTTCTGTTTCTTCCTATCCCATCTCATTTCTGTGATACGCCTCAGGCTCCTCTGCCTTTCCCCCTTGATTATTCCTGCTTCTGGTTCTGAAATACATGCGTAAGTGCTTCGGTCACCTACCGATACCCCTTCCCTCAACTCGCTTCCAAACACTGCACGCGCGCCAAACTTTGGTGGCTTTCTTGGTGCATGAATCTTGCTGTTCTTTCTGAGAAACCAACTGATAAACTTCTCGATTTCACAGACCGGATTCACTCGTGGGCGAAAGCTCACGCGTCAACTCGCCAAACTCAAGCTTCCTCTCAGGCAGACCAAGCCTCCGATGAGGCAGCGGCTCAAGATGGGCAAGTGAAGGAAGCTATACGTGACCCGGCCAGCCCGGAGTCAGAAAAGAATTCAAATGAGACTACTAAGCCCGGACTCTTCACGCGCATGAAGGATGGCATGGTCCGCTTCAGCAGCCACACCAAGACGGCTCTTTGCCACAGTTGGGTCAATGTGTTGCTCATCTTCGTGCCCGCTGGTATCGCCGTCCAGGCGGCCGGGTTGAACTCGGGCTTGATCTTCGCCATGAACGCGATCGCTGTCATTCCCTTGGCTGGTCTCCTCAGTCACGCGACTGAGTGTGTTGCCAGCCGCCTAGGTGACACCGTCGGTGCACTGATCAATGTCACTTTTGGAAATGCAGTCGAGTTGATCATTTTCATCATTGCACTTGTCAAGAATGAGATTCGAATTGTGCAAGCATCCCTCTTGGGATCTATTCTGGCAAATCTACTGTTGATTCTGGGTATGGCCTTTCTTTTGGGAGGCTTGCGTTTTCAGGAACAGGTAAGCAATCCTCGTCTGTGTTTCTGAGTTGTGTACTAACTTCTCTAGATCTACAACAGTACGGTCACTCAAATGAGCGCCTGTCTTCTTAGCTTGAGCGTCATGAGTTTGTTATTACCTGTGAGTGATGACTTGATTTGTTTGAGGGTCCAGAACTAACATAGTCATCAGACGGCCTTCCATGCTTCGTGGTCAGACAGCTCGAACGCCGACAAATACACTCTCAAAGTCAGCCGAGGAACTAGTGTGGTAAGCTCCCTCAGAAGTACGATGAGAAGCGCATCAAATGCTAAGTGTCACAAATAACAGGTTTTGCTTCTTGTGTACGCCTTGTACATCGTTTTCCAACTCAAGTCGCATGCCTATCTCTACGCCAGTACTCCTCAGCAGATTATTGACGAAGAATCCCACCCGGGTGTGTTGGCCGAGTTTATGAACAGCTCGTCGGATTCAAGCAGTTCTTCCGACGAATCGGTCGACACTACAACCTCCTGGTCCACCGCCAAACGCATCAAGAGGGCCATGAAACACAGACGCCACCGCAAATCAAGCACGAGCTCACGTGGAACAGTATCTCCGCAATCGTTCCGTAAGAAGTCCCTGGTGGATATGCCATCGTCGGCTGTAATTGATGAGGCCCACGGTTCTGGTGACTTGAACAGTACCACTAGTCATGCAGAGGGTTCAGGGTCGTTTGTCATTGATTTTGGCGACGATACTCGCTACGATGCGGACCACGAGCCACACTCGAGGGACTACGAACCGCAGTCGCGGGACTTCGGAGCTGCCCCTAGGACCTCGAAGCAAGAGAGAAAGGCCAAGAAGCAGGAGAATAAAAAGCGTGAGAAGCGTACGGAAAGCGCTCAAGGCGCTACCAATACAGCTATGAGCGGACGGCCACCCTTGAAGTCTTATCAATCGGAACCTGCTGTTGATCATGGCGATCTACCAATTCCTGTCGAGGAGGTCCCTGAAGTGCCTAAGAGGCGATCGCCATTTCGGCCTACCATTCCCTCACTGCTCTCCAATACAGTGTTCTCTACCGCGCCGGGTATTGCACAACCAACGAATCTTTCCGCTGCATCTGGTCTCCGCCGTACACACTCGCTGCCTTCTTTCTCCAATCGTCCTCCACCCGTGGGAAGCGCTGTACAATTTGCCCGTGGAGCATCTCGCATGCCCACCGTGGTCAGCGCGGCCACCGTTGAAGACACTCCTGAACACCCCGAGCCAGAAATGTCTCGCACCTCCGCGGTGGTCATGCTCCTCGTCTCAACCGCTCTTGTTGCCGTCTGTGCAGAATTCTTGGTTGATGCCATTCCCAACATGATTCAAAGCTCGTCTGTCAGCGAGGCTTTTATCGGTCTGATCATCCTGCCTATTGTTGGTAACGCCGCCGAACACGTGACGGCCGTGAGTGTGGCTACTAAGAACAAGATGGATCTTGCTATTGGTGTGTCTGTTGGTAGCAGTATCCAGATTGGTATGTTTTGTTAGACCCTTGGACTTTCTAGAACCCGAGCTGACCCTCAGCAGCTATCTTCGTCACTCCCTTGGTAGTTATCCTCGGGTGGTGCATGGACAAAGACATGTCTTTGTACTTTACTCTATTTGAAACTATATCGCTCTTCGTAACGGCCTTCGTCGTGAACTTCCTTGTCCTGGACGGCAGAAGTAACTACCTGGAGGGATCTCTGCTCATCGCAGCCTATGTTATTATTGGGTATGTTCTATTGTTTTTTTCAGCCATGTTTTGTTGAACTCTTTTCTAACGAGACTTGTAGTGTCGCTGCCTTCTTCTACCCCGGAAGTGCTGAATCCAGCAACTTCGCCGGCAGCTCATGATTGGTTTTAATATTAATACGACGGCGGAAGCCGGTCAGTAATGATGAGCCTGACACGTCTGGACACTGTCAGATGCAGAATGTGGTCCTCATTTTCCGGCAAATGCAATTTATGACGAGTTGCAAATTGGATTGAGGTGGAATTTGAGTTTGAAGCAGAGGAACGAATTGACCAGAATTTGAGGTGTTTTGTGGTATATTGGGTCGAGACTGTAAATATTGTTGCCTGGGTGTCCTACTTGGCACAGTTACTCCGCTATATGACTGGTATTCTGGATCAATCGAGTTTCTCATACTCTCTCGACCGAGTCAGGCACATCTGATTATTTTGTGTTACAGGTGCATTGGTTATTTGGTTATTCGGAGGTGCACCATTTTCCGTGCAGCAGAAGAGCAGAAGGACCCTACCCCGTACTAGGTAGAAAGATCAATGCTCCGAACAGTTCCGTAGCCCCTCGGCGAACGAAGGAAAGATTGAAAGAGGAAGGAAGGGTGTGGCTGAGCGGTGCCTTTGGTCGCGGAGACACAGCCACTCATTGAGGCACACGTGGCGAATCGCTCAGGGGCTCCGAGTAGAGTCTTGGCACGGTGTCCGGATTGCTCGCTCAGAGACTACTGTTACAGATAGGATGATAGTTCCTTACCTCTCTTTGAATTTATCCGGTATTACAGGAGCAGAAGTCCTCCCCTATGCAATGTTACCATGAGCTACTGGTAACCTATGTAGATTTCGATTCTGCATGGGTACTCGGTGAAAACCGTGTAACTGCAACACTTCTATTCCCGTTGACAGGATCCCGAATTACTCGTAGCATGGATGTCTTGGAGGGCGGCAACCATGGCCCACAGCTTAATTTAGTAATTTCTGGAAGGCCGAGGACCCGCCAAGCCGAGGAAGGGTTCTGTCTGCCAGTGCAGTGTTCATGTTGCCGTGCTGTCACCGGACACCGCGGGCGGATTCAGTTCAAGTTGTTGCGTGTGAACTCGCCAGTGATTCAATAGTGGGGGTCATTTGTGGCTGATGCAGCAGCGTTCCACTTCTGATTGGATAGCATCTTCCACCAGCCCCCAATGTGGCGCCAAGAACCGAAAAAGGAGACGGATTGCTGCGGCATCGCTTGGACAAGTCATTCATTTCTCCAGTCGCTCCCTGTTCATTAGTCCGGATATTGACAGCTCTGCCCCGACTGGTAGCTCATAAGACTGCTATCCAATACATTGTCGTCATGTCTATTGCTCAGTTGACTTTCCAAGAAACTCAGAAAGACATCATCCATCATTCATGATCGACTTTTGTACCTATGTGACTATGTGCCTGACAAGGTTAAGGCTGCTTTTGCCCCTCCATCTCTTCTCCCTACAGGGATAAACGAAAACTTGCCCCGCAATTTCTCCTCATCGTCCTTCCCCCCCCCGAAGAAAGAAACTGTCGAGCTGGCCTTATGGCATCAAGGGCAGAATTCCATTGCATTCCAGCATTATGAAGCCAACTGCTTGCCTGTCGGGTCCCACACCCCATCAGGGGCGCTTGTGTTACGTATCTGCCTAAATCTTCTGCATTGTCAGAACTTCAGATCTACAATCAACAATGAAACCAGACTATGGATTGGCATTTTCTCCATCCCAACAAATAACGCGGTGGATACACTCTACTTTTAGCGCTTGCCTAGGTCGTTCGTTGGCTGCCATGAGTCCCTGAGGGCCGTTAATATCCCTGATAGCAATGGTGGAGTGGATGCTGCATCTGTGACCTGACTCCATCTACCCACCCTTCCCCTCTCCAGCTGACAGGGACCATCACAACAGACTATTTAAGGGTCTTGTGGTGCTTCTCTGTCCTCTTGACTTCTGTTTCATTCTCTCTTCCCTTCTGAATCTTCTCTCTCCCATCCACTCCTCTATCTGTTGCTCTAATCGTCACCACGAGTGCAGAATCAACCACAATGTCTTACTACGGAGGACAGCCTTACTACCAGGAGCGCCCTCCTTATGAGCGCCCCCCCTACGACGCCCCGCCCGCCGACAGACCTCCCTACGAGCGCCCCCCATATGACAGACCTCCTTATGACCGCCCGCCTTCCGACAGACCTCCCTACCAGGGCTCCCCTTACGAGAGACCTCCCTACCAGGGTGGTCCCCCTCCAGAGCGTCCTCCCTACGAAGGCGCCGACCGCTCTTACGACTCTCGCCCTCCATATGCCAGCCCTCCCTCGTCCTTCCGGCCTCCCCCGGTCCCCCCCCCTCCTCTTCCCATGGGCTGGACCCAGGAATGGGAGCCCAGCGCCCGCCGTGCTTTCTTTGTCGAGGTCGCTACCGGCCGCTCCCAGTGGGAGCCTCCTCTAGGGGACTCCGACGGCTCCCGTGACCTGGCGCCTGCCGGACCTCCGGGCGGATACTATGGTGCTTCTTCACCTGCTCCTCCTCCGCCGGAGGGCGGATACTACCCCCCTCCCCAGCAGGGTGGATACTACCCACCCCAGCAGGGCGGTGAGTACGTCGACCCCGAGGAGCAGAAGAAGAACGAGCGCAAGAAGATGATGCTTGGTGCTGCCGGTGGCCTGGCCCTCGGTGTTGCCGCTGGTGCTCTCATCAACCACGAACTGGGTAAGTTATACCTCCTTTCAGGTCGACGACCATTGCTGTTACGCATTGTGGTTCTACCTTACTAACTACTGTTGAACAGAGGAGCACTCGAGCTCGAGCGACGAGGAGCGTGAAGGCTCCCCCCAGCGTGAGATCTACCACGAGCGTGAAGTATACATCGAGCGTGACGTTGAGCGTGATGAGGAGCCTGCCTACGAGCCCGATGACTGGTAGTGGTAGGCTGAGCCTTCCTTCTCTTCTTCCCCTAGATTCTCGCGGTTTTGATTTTACATTGAGCGATACTTTTTTCGGGAAACTTATCTGTATTTATTGCAACCAACCTTCTTTTTTTTCGTTTCATAAAAGACTTCATGGTACTTAGGCTGGCACGGTTTGCATGGTGCAAAGGGACTACATTGAGCCAGATACTCTAACCCGATCCTGCAATAGAATGTTCAATAAACGAAATAAAGACCAATCCAAAAACAAAGAAGAAGCCAACGAACCTACTAACAAAACCCCAAATCAACCTTAACAAGAGGAACTGAACTATCAATACCTCTACAGTAGCGCATTCGACCCAACCCAACCGAACCTCCGATCCGTGTGTTCTCTCACCAGACAAACGGAATCAAACGAGCCGTCCGACGATGCCACCGCTCCCACTCGGCCCCAAAGTCCCTCTTCAACATCCTCTCCTCATCCTGGACCCTGAAATAGGTGATCCCCAGAAAGACGCCAGTCGTCAGCAGCAGCAGCCCAACCCGGCCCCATGGCTCAACGACGGCGACACCGCCGAGTCCGGTCGTCTCCCCGGATCCCGACCAGCATGTCCCCATCGCCGGGACGAACTCCTCCAACGCCAGTCGCACATAGCCCGCGACCATGAGCAGCCCGCCCGAGTAGCTGGGATGCTGGACGTACCGGTACACCCCGTCGGTCACCAGGCCGTCGTCGGGCGTTGCGAGGTGGAACGTGAAGTCCCCGCCCAGGGCGCGGAAGGCGGCCAGCCGCGTCCATCCGCCGATGTAGAACAGAAGTAGGCTTGTGGCTGTGGACGGCGTCCAGGTGAGGGCCTCGGTTGGTGGGTTGGCGGGGGATCGGCAGATGGCGGTCGTCCACGGCGAGGATGGGTGGCTGTGTAGGAGGGTTAGTAGTGCTTGGTAGAGGAAGCTCATTGGGATGACGAGCTTCATGAGGAGGAAGAGGGGGTCGATGACGGTGGCGACGCTGTCTTTGGATTTAGACTTGTTGCTGCTGTCGGGTCCGAGCTCGGGTGAAGGTGGTTGGAGGCATCGGAGGGCTAGGTAGCTGGATACCGTGTAGGCGAGGGTGAGGGCGAGGGTGGGAAGCGTTGGCATGTTGATGATGGAGATGAGATATGAAGATAGCGAAAGAAGGTCTCGTGCAGTTCGACTGGTCTGGTGCTTGATTTTTTGGGCCCCTGCGTGAGCATCCTTTTATATACTCCAATTCCTCATTGATGCCTTAGTCCATCTAAATGTACAGTACAGTATACTGTACATGACTCGATCGGAGTGGCTCGACTATGTCATTGCCTTGGTCCATGAGTATACTTGATTCAACTAAGTGGCTTGATTATGACTATGTTGAAGTTGATTCTGCCAGCAGAGGACTTTATGCATGTAGAATGACGTAGAATTCCCATGCTGCAGATTTCATCATTTCCCGCTCTCTTGTATGTATGTACTGTACAGTTTGTACGCTGTCGGGCGGTGAAGTGTGGTCGACATAACTCGGTCTCAGATCACATACTATGTATGATCTTCAACTTCCAGCCACCAGATGAACTCTTGATCTTATCTCTGCTCTATGGGGGACGCTGATTATGCAAAATAACAACAAAAACAACCTGGTTCCTAATTCGAGCCATCCTCGACAATCTCGATCGATGTCCTCCTATTTCTCCATCTCGCTCACCACACACGGAGCTATGCTCGCCAGCTTTTCTTGAGTCTCAGTGAGTTCACGCGCAGGGGTCGATTGCGCAATTACCCCAGCCCCAGCCTGCACCCACTGACAACTCTGGTCTTGGAAGACAGTGCGGAGAACAAGGGCTGCCTCAAGGGTCTTGCTGCCTTCGATCATTAGAACGGCCCCCGAGTACAACTCCCTAGGACGGTATTCGAGGCGCTGAATGCCCTCCAGTGCGGCCTGCTTCGGTATGCCAGATGCTGTGATAGAAGGGAAGAGGACGTCGAGGGCGTCCCAGGGGTCGTTCTCCGGCTTCAGGAAGCCAGTCACGGTAGACCCGAGATGCTGGACACTGCCCCGAGGTCGGACTGACATCAGGTCCTCAACACTGACTGTGTCCTCTGGACAGAGCCGCTTCAGCTCGTCGATCGCTTCCCGAACTGAGATTACATGTTCAACGATCTCCTTGGGGTCGTTCAGCAGTTCCTGTCTGAGGCGCTCGACCTCGGTGTCTTTACCCTTGCGCGATCGCGTTCCAGCCAGCGGCTCAGTGGTCACCTTCCCCTCTTTCACTGACATCACGAGCTCGGGACTGAAGCCGGTCGCTTGGTAGCCCCCGTGGCTCAGGGAAAAGCTCCGTGCGGGTGCATTGCAGCGTCGACCACACAGCAGGGTGGCCGGCATGTCCACTCGCCCGGCGATCTCCACCGCTCGTGAAGGGATAACCTTCGTATACTTCCCTTCCGCGATCTCCGCCAGCGCGTTCTCGACTCGAGCTAGGTATTCTCCCGCAGCGTCTTGCGTGTCGATACTTTGATTCGGTGTCGGATCCACACTGATGGCATCATCGATAAGGTCGGCCAATGCCTTCACTTCCTCATTGTTATCCCCCGTCAGAACAACATTGTCTCGTGAGAACGATATCTCGATGCGCGGGGCCATCAAGCTCATAAGCGGCCATCGACCGGCCGTGTATGGAATGCCGCGCGCATGTGCCGCGTAGTTGAACCCAACATACCCGAATACCCTGCGGGCGTCGTTGGCGTGCTTCGACACAAAGTCTCTTGCGACATCCGCCAGCGGACCGGTGATCGGGTGCGATTCTTTGTGAGAATCGGTGGAGATTGTCGCCGTCTCCCCCTTGGGGTCAACTACGAGTGAAGAGTGACTGCCGATGCCCAGGTACCATTTTCCCTCTCGCTCATACGCATAATAGTCGTCACTCTTGTGGGCTCGCAATATTTCAACCACTCTTTCGAGAGCGTCGGGCCTCCCCGGGAATAGAGCTATGGTAGTGCGACTGAAGCTCATGTTTTCTGGTATGGGCGAAGGCACTGTTCAGGAGCAAAAGAGACAAGTGGTTTTGGGAATCGGTGCCAAAGTCCTCAACTTAGGTCAGTATTGTGTGGGAGATGTTTCCACCATCATAGACTCCTTGTTACTTACAACTGGAAGAGATTTATAGCTTTCATGAACAATCCGTCCCCACAATCACTCTATTCAATAGACCCTGTTCGATGAATGAGCTCTGTGGTTCATTGGGCTCAGCTGAGGAATGCAGAGATCGGCATACTCACATAGCAAAGTGGCTAATTCGGTCTGATATCACATTGCACTGGCCGTGGTCGTGGCGATGATTGGTCAACATAGCTGATATGAGAAAAAGCAAAGTACGGCCGATCACTAGTATCATTCGCCGCCTCTCATATATTGTTTTTATTGCATCATCCCAAGCTAACCATACTTGTTCTGCAGCAGCATCGGACTCGCCGATCAGATATCATGTTCTCCTGCAGATTCAGGTTAGCATGCAAGATGATGTGTAACCTCGACTGTGACCAAGCCAATCTCTGTGTAACGCAGAGCCATTGCCATGGGACTTTTGAACATTGCAAGGTCTGGATTGTCGAGTCGCGCCAATCTCTTACGTATTTGGGAGTGATGCAAGAGCAACGTACCAGGAGATTGAGCAGAATAACCCCGAGCTGCGACTAACAAGTCCAACTCTGAGACATCTGTGTGTGAGCTCATCTCGAGGACTTTTACGTACTTTCTTGTCCTCGTGAGAGGTTGGCCGAGCACAAGATTACACACCCGAGTGCCTAGGTAACAGCAGCGAGTGTGTGTGGCCATCGCCGTAGTTGAATGTACTAGCAACAATTAACGGACGATGTCTCAGTTGCCTATTCCATTGCCTTTCGGACTAAGGTGGTTTCGCCCATGACCAGTTATACAAGCATGATCAGACCTGGGCAGCGGCGGGAGAACCACAAAGTGGCTTATGCTCGAACTATTACTGCAAAAACGGCTAAACTGTCAAGAGTGACTTTATACGAACACGCCAGGATCCGAAGTCGGAATGTGCGAGCAGCGGCACTCGCTGTCAGCGGAGAGAAGAGTGACTCCATCGCAAGCCGAAGACGTCATCAAATACGGGGATCTCATCTGCAAGATCTACTATTGCTTCTTCGGCTTTTTCGCGTCTTTTCTATTCGCTCTATATACTTACACACGATCGATCTCATTCCTGCTCCCCGAGTACCAATAATGGTTCCCTCCCAGGTCAAAAAATCCTTGAAGCCGCTGAAAAAGATGCTCGATGTGGCATTCGACTTCATGCCTTGTCCGTATTACAAAGAGTAAGACCTTACAGACCGGCTAATTCATGATCTCATTTAATTCCGTATCGGTTGATTTGCAGCCGAACAGTTCGCAGGCGAATTTACGACGCGGATAATCCTCAAACCTAAATCACCGAGAAGGAACTATAAAAGTCCTGACGAAGCTGGCCTAGAACCTAGAACATCAAGTACAAATCTTGAAACTTACAATATTTTACTCGTCTGGACAACTTATCAGATCAACTCAAGTGACAATGGGAAGTGCGATGATACCAGCGGACGATTATATCCTCGGAAGAAGCATCACGGACTCGGTTAGGTACCTTCTTTGATGTCTTCCTACTTATGATACCCCTGCGATGAAGGTCACACAGACATGATAGGTGCTGATTTTACTACAGATTGGATGCTCAGCATCTTCTGTGGAAATTTCACAAGGGGTACGAGCTACATCCTGAAATCCCAGTCAGCAATGACATGAAGATTGCCGACCTTGGTTGCGGCACAGGGTTTGTGATATGACGAATTGGTCGATCTGAATCCTCCGCTTACGATATGCATAGAATCTGGCTCCTTGACCTGTCGAGACAGCTGCCGTCAACCGTGCAACTACATGGCTTTGACAGTAGCGGCCAACAATACCCACCCTCTGGACTGTGGGCGAAGAACATGACGCTCAGCGTGGTGGATCTGATGTCTGATCTACCACCCTCCCTGACGGGACAATATGATGTGGTGCATCTGCGGATGTGGGCGAGCAATGTGCGCGAAAGCGAGACAGCTACTTTGATCCGTCAAGTCAAACGACTCCTAAGTAAGCTCAAACGGCCCACTACTGACTCCACATCATCGTCGTTGCATGCTAATACAAGCCACGCACAGAGCCAGGGGGTTACATCCAGTGGGAAGATGCGGACCTGCACAACCAGGTCACGGAGGGCCGCGTGGCGGAGGAAACCGCTGCGCGGATGAGCGACTTGTTTCGGCGGGTCAACCGCAAATACATGTGCGTCCTCCTACCAGAATCATAGCCCTATATATGCTGACATGACTTTCTAGATGGGTCTCCGAGCTCCCCGACCGCATGCGCAAAGAGGACTTGGAGATCATCGAGTCCGACCACGGCCGGTTCGCCCCCCCTCTGGTGGACCTGTGCACCCGGACCTACATTCTAGCCCTACGCGAGTTGACGCAAGGCATCAAAAGAGGACTGTCCGGGGACATTCTGTTGTCAGTGTCCGAGCAAGAGGTCGCTCTCCAGTGTCTTGCAACACAGCAGAAGGAGAAAATCATTTACAACTGGTCCCCGGTTACGGTGCTGGCTCGGTCTAGGGAGTAACCACTTGGTCCGGGAGAGAGGGGGCGAGGACACCATGTGCCACCTCAGCTACGTATGGCGATTTATCTTTTGGTTCTCATGCGGATCGAGAGTAGCTTGGCTTTTTGATGATTATACCGCGTAACTCAAATATAAAGTCTCTAGATGGTTGAAGCTTATCCTTACAATCATGCACACTTATTGATAGGTATGGCAATCTTTCCTACTTGTGATGTCCTGTGGCATGCGACACTTGTCTTCCAGATGCCAATCGTAGTAGGGAGTTTCTTCAGGGTGGACGGATCAGTACCTTGCATTCCGCAGGTTCTGCACCAAAGAAGATCTACGGGGCCTCGTGCCGATCCAGAAATGCGGCCTTATCTGTAACCAATGCATTTCCGAGATTGTTCCCTACTCGTTGAACAGTTAGCTGCAAGTGCTTCGATGGTGCCCGGTATGTCTATTGTTATCATTGTGGGTTTCTTCTGCGGAAGTTGACCGGCAGAATTTCTACCTTCAAGCTCGAACTCGTGGTTGTTGTTTTTGTTTTGAGTTGGTGCTGTAGACTGACTGCCTACACTATCTCCGGCCGCTGACCACAAACTACCAAACTGCAACACAAAAACACTTCTCCCACGACTGAATTTTTCTCTATTGTACCTTGACAATTCACTGCTGTCGTCTAATCATGTCACTGTCAACTAAGGACGTCAATCTCGTGTCTACCTTAGCCCCAGTCCGAGGCAGACTGGGTCTACGAAGAATGCACCGCATTAAGAAGAAGCTCAATGGTCAACACACTTGTTTAGTCGGCTTCTCACCTGCTCAGAAGACTTAATTTTGAGCTACACAGATCTGCCAAAAGACTTGATTGACGACAATTCGAAGCGAGGTCGACGATCATGTGGACTTTGGTGCACTGCACCACAGAAGCTCCTGATCGACACCCGTCCCATACAGATTCACTTACAAGGATGCAGCATATATCTCAAAAAGGAATACATGGCCTTCCTTTCACAGCAAAATTACTACTCCGCCACCAACGGGTAAGTCATTCCTCGATTTCTTAGGCCAAAAAGCCATTCCAACTGCGTCGCGCGTTACAATTATCTTACAATCAATCCTCCTTGAAAGGACACCCCTTGGCACTACTCTCCGAGCGCGTTTTCTTCTCGACAACCTCCGCCGTCAGCTTCATCAACCTATCAGCCAGCTGCATGTCGTTCGCCTTGTCGCTGCCCTTCTCCACGATGCACGGCGGACAGATGAACTGCCCGCCCTCCGTCGCGACGGTGGCCGCGTACATGGTGGACACGGCGCCCTGGAACTGCGTCTTGCGGAAGGGCTTCAGCCCGATCGACATGCCGTAGCCCAGCAGCGGGAACGCGTCGTGGATGTGGACGTTGGTCTGCGCGGTGTCCACGACGCCCGGGTGCGTCGCGTTGACGATGATATTGGGGTGCGTGGACTGGAGGTGCTGGTTCAGCCACTTGGCGTGCAGGAGGTTGGCCAGCTTGCTGCGGCCGTACAGGGCGTTGGGGTCGTACTCGCGGTTCAGCTCCTCGACGGAGGCGAACTCGGTATCGGCGGGCGCGCTGCTGTGCACGTTGGAGGAGAGGTTGACGATGCGGACCGGGCGGCCGGCGTCGGCCGTCTTCTTCAGCGTCGGCAGCAGGTGCGAGGTCAGCACGACGTGGCCCATGTGGTTCGTCGCCATGTGCTGGTCGATCCCGTTGGTCGGCGCCAGCTGCCGGCTCATGATCCCCCGCGCCGCGTTGTTGATCAGGATGTCGATCCGGTCCGTCTGCGACGCGATCTCCCCCGCCACGTGCGCCGTCTGCTCCCAGTCCGACAGGTCGCACTGCAGCCAGATGAAGCGCTTGCGCTTCTCCGGCCCAAACTCCTCCTCGATGGCCGCGAGCGCTTCGTCCGCGACCTCCTTGCGGAGCGATGTGACGAACAGCTTCGCGATGTTCTTCGATAGGAGGGTGTGGGTGCAGCCGAAGCCGATGCCTAGCCATTGTGGTTAATACATGGTTACTTTCTCCAAGCGCACGCTCATTGAGTTGATCGTACCTTCACTGCCGCCCGTCACCACCGCTACCTTATCACTAAGATCGGGAACTTCCTCTAAACTGAACTTGTGCTCGGCGAGCTCATGAGACGGCCCACCGAAGTTCTCGGCGATTGTGTTCTTGATGGTCTGCATTCTGGATGGGAATTGTGTGCGTCTGGAAATAATCCAGGGAAAAAAAGTATTGATTCAAACCCAGGTAATCCTACGCTGTGGGCTACAATAAGTAGAAATTTAGGATTGGTATCTGCGGCGATGACGGAGCCAAATGGTGATGTCACATCGAATCAGAGGCGGTGATGCAGCAATGTGGTCATCCGCTTCGTCCAGAGTTTCATTGGCGCACTGGGGCGTGTTGCTTTAAGGTTATTAGTTGATCTGGGACTTGATCCCGGTGATCGATCTGTAGATACTTGTGAGTAGATGTGGTCGGTATCTGAGAAGGGAATCATCCAGCTGTTGTCGGAGATTTCTTGGCGCATACCTCCGTCGGGACGGCCTTATCGCAACTTTCATCTACTCTGACGACAACTCGACTTCGTGCATTCGTTGTTACCATCTGCGTCTGAACCTGAGCTTATTGGCCTCCATCTTCTCATATATCACCTTCTGCAGGTCATATTTCCGATCGCTATACTGTGACGCAAAGCGTCGAACTGAAGTCACGGGTCACGGGTCCAGTATAGTGCCATATTTCCCATTCCGGAAAGAACTAGATACCATCGCACTTTCCAGGTCGAGCAACCTTCATCCTCTACTAGATCAATAATCCCAAGTTTCTTAACGCCATTAACATGCACTCAAACAAGCCCCAACACACATAAAAAGACCCATATCGTAAGTTCTCGGGGAAAGGAAGAACTGATCAAGCGCGAGCATCAAACAGCATTGCTGAGCGATATATACTCTGCACTCATAGACAATACAGTAACTTATCAGCTGGCCATATGAGAGACCCGCAAAAAGGCGCTGTGGATGTTCCGAACACGACAAAAAAAAACAAAAACATATATAGCCTACGGGGTTAGTTTATATATATATATATACCTCCGATAGGGGAATCGAGCCCCCGGCTGCCGTGTGAGAGACGGAGGCTGGGTTGTTCTTGGTATGAACAGTCATAGGCCGAAGCTTCTTTTTGTTTTTTAGTTGTTTTCTTCTTCTTCTCCCCCCCACCCCGGTTACACTGGCTGTCGCTGTATGGATGATGATGATGCGTACATAGTATGCTGTTGGATTGGGTCTCGGTCAAGTTAATGGGCGTGACTACATTTTATATGCATCTAGTGTATAATGATGTATTGCGCTTGATTTTTACATGTTAGACGGAGAGCTGAGAATTCTCAATGCAAGTGGCATATACTCTCTTCCATCCATCCATCGGATTCCAACGAAGAGGCATAGGTCAGCAACATACAATAGAATCACTTGAAACAAACAATCTCCCCATGTAACATCCCATACCACCCCTGCTCACACGCCACAAACTCCCGCCACCCGTCCACCACCACCTCCAGCTCCTCCCTCGTTGCCAGCCCACTCCCCACCGCCCGATCCGCAAACCCCGAGTTGCGCGCCCGCTCCGCCATGGAGCCGCCCCAGTACTCGCGCTCCTCCGCCGAACCGAAACACCAGCTGCCCGTGCTTTTATGGATTTGCGTCTGCGCGAAGCCCGCCTCCTCCGCCCACACGTGGATCCTCGCCCCGGGGTGCGGGTTCCCGCCGCTCCGCTGCGCCAGCTCCCGGGTCAGACGGTCCCAGAGCTCGATCCCGCGGTTCGCCGGGTGCCAGGTGTGGATGCTGGATTCCCGGGCGGCAACGATCCCGCCATTGGGTTTGGCGACGCGGCGCATCTCACGGAGAGCCTGGACGGGGTCGGCGATGTGCTGCAGGACCTGGTGGACGTGGACGAGGTCGAAGGTGTTATCGGGAAAGTCCAGGGCGTGGATGTCGCCGACGTCGAAGGTGACGTTGGCTAGGCCTTCGGCGGCGGCGAGGCGCCGCGCGGTGGGGAGCGGGTTGGCGAAGGAGTCCAGACCTGTAACCTGGGCGGTTGGATGACGGCGGGCTAAGTTAATGGTTATGCTGCCTGGTCCGCAGCCGATGTCCAGGATTTTGAGGTTGGGGGTGGTGGATTGGAGGTGATCGAGGTGGGGGAGGAGGTATGGTGCGGAGTTGGCGAGGGTGCGCCAGTTGTGCGTGCGGAGGACGCTGGGAGTGTGGTTTGTTGAGTAGGTTGATGTCATCTTTGAGGATAGGCGTGCGTTTCGTAGCTTGAGTTAATGGTTCAGGAAATGTGTGTAGGCTGGTTTCAGAATGGTCATGATGGCAATATATAGGTGCCCAGTCGTGGTTGATCAGTAAGGTGGGTCATTCTCGGAGTTCCGAAATAGGGGCGGGGGAATGGCTGTGAGCGGTTGATGTGCACTGACTAGATCAACACCCATGAATGTGCGTTGTGACTCCGAACAGTAACATCCCAAACTCATCCACAGTCTGCAGCCACCTCTCGATCCTTTCTCTCTGCTCGACTGTTCCCGTATCCGCGGATCGCCACAGCTCTGAGATTTCCAGCATCCCATCCTCCCAGGTCAACAAATGACGGTCATACTCCCGTTCCCACGTCTCCCGGTCGGGCGCCTCCCACAACGATCTTCCTTCTGGAGCAAAAACACCCCTTACTTCATCGGCTATGAAGTTTGGCAAGAGTCGGTCGGAGTTGTAAACGCTGCAGAAGAGGTACATGGCGAAGATGGCGCGGCGTTTCGAGGCCACCACAATCCACGACTCCCAACTAGGTCGCGAGTGGGATAATTCGGCCACACAGAAGAAGCCGTTGCGAGCCGTGCGAAAGGCCAGTTCCATGAGTGTGATCATGACTTTGTCGGTGACAGCGGCCGGGGCAGCGAGTCGCGGGGAGAAATATAACATGACGGAGTAGATTAGGTAGGCTTGAAAAGTAGATAGAAGGTTGTAGTCGTGCTGGCTTGGAAGCTGCGATCGTGATTCTATTAAATTCCGTATGTACGAGCAGAGCTGGGTCGGCATACCTCGTTGGACAACCTCTCCATCTCCATTTCGATCATGTTGATGACCATGGCTTCACTTCCTGAAACAGCGTTCTCCCACATTCGAACGAGGCTGTAGCAATTGGCCAAGGCCTGTGGCAGGTTCTCACCGGAGACTTGTGAGTGATGAATGATAGGAGGTGCTTTGCGGTCCTTCAGCATGAACCGGGGATAGGTGGCCAGAACCCTCGAGATGTACTGCAGTGTAAACGGATGATAGACCTTCGGAACCTCGTCTCGCCCCAGTGGTGGGAGAATATATGGCCGAAGCCAGCGATCTCGAATACTCTCTACCCCTGAAGCAGGGACTAGGTCGATCTTGATGAAGTCGACATGCGGTCGCTCATCTCTCGCTGACCCCACCTGTCGATGCCTGCGTTCTAGAATCGGCGTAACGCGTCCGGGGCTGCTGTCAAGATAGGATGGTAAAGCTATGGGCATAGCAAACGATGTAGAGGGCTGGAGCTCAGCGAGACCCCTCGAGCCCGGATTCTCCAAGTTTTCGGTCTGAGGACTAGTGTGTGAGGATTCAGGGGCAGTGTAGTATTCGCATACGCGACCGAGAGACTTGCATCGAGAGCAGGTAGGTCTTTCGAGACTGCACCGAACTTTGGATTTGGTGCAACTTTGGCAGGCCTTCTTCCGTGGAGGAGGTGGCTGTCTTCGTCTGCTTGACTGGGAGGAACTTGGGCTTGCCATGCTGATGTTGTGTGGAACTGGTTAGTGAGTGTTGTGGTGACTACGCGGAGTTCCGAAGTGGGTGGGGGACAAGCGAAAGGAACTCCGCTAGCTGCCAGCTGACATCATGGCCTCGGCTCCGCAGTCATCGCTTCTGATAGCAGCTTTGTAGTATGATTATTCCTTCAAAGTTGACTGATCTTTTGCGTTTACTGTTCTTTGAACATACAACATCTCTGGGCAGAATCTACGCTTTTTTGAGACCCAAAGAATACTCAAGAGCGCGCAATGGCGACGCGTCGTCTCCCTCGAGGCTTGACGCGACATGCCAACAGACCGAGACGTGCACTTGCTTGGGCAACGAGAGAACTTCTCTGCGACCAAACGCCTCAAATACTGCAGCATCGCGCAACCAGCACCCAAATAAGCGTCTACATCGCACAGCCTCGAAGACAACTCCACACACAAACGCCCTTCGAAAAGAGCCCGGACACCGCGCCACCGTCAGAAGCACTCCGTCCAATCTCGCACGCCTTTGACCCAGCCAACTCCAAACCACCAACTCAATCCTCAACTCCATTCTCAAATTTTCGACCGGAGATCTTCGAGGACTGCCATCATGCAAACACCATTCACCCACCCTCCCACCGCGTCCCATGGCCAACCTCTCTCCCTATCGCTCTGCAGTCCAAACACTGGCGTCAAGCCGAAGCAGCAGCAACTACATACCTGCATACCATCAGCACCTCCCACCCGACCCATCCGACCCTCGATCCCGCCCGCACAAGAAAACTCATCGACGCGGCGGTATCTTACACTATCCATCTCGTCCCCCTGAGCAACATCACCAGAATACAACTCCTAGCCAAAACATACGTCCTCCTCTTCCTCCATGACGATGCAGTCGGCACCCAGAACCCTGCTCTTCGTATCCCTCCTCGCAGCGCAGTCTCGCACAACCAGAGCTCTACAGCAGAGTATAATGCTTATAATATCCTAGCCAAGGAGTTACTAACGGAGGACCCTCACGAGAGAGAGCGGTTGCTCGAAGAGATCATATCCTGGGGATCAGCTACGCAGTGCGAGCGACCGAAGACGTTTGGGTCGCTAGAGGAGTATCTCGTGCATGGATTGGAGGATTTCGGGGCTGAATTGATCCTTCAGACTGTCCGGTTCTCGTGCGGGACTGCGATCGAGGATGCTCCGGAGTTAGAGCGATTGAAAGCGCTGTGCGCGAAGCATCTGTTGTTAACGAATGATCTGTATTCGTACGCGAAGGAGGCCCGGGCGGAAGCGGAGACCGGGGAAGTGGTGCTTAATGCTGTCAGGGTAGTGCGTGGGCTCATGGGCGGCGATGATATTGATGATGCTCTAGCTGCAAGGGTATTGAGAGTAATGATTCGAGATGTAGAAGATAGGATGAGCGCAGAGTGTCTGAGCCTGGAAAAGTCGGGTGTGCTGTCAGAGGCGCAGATGGTCTACGCGCGAGCGATGGTGATGGCGGTTGCAGGAAATATATTCTTCTCCACGACGAGTCCGCGGTATGCCGGGGCTGTCGAGGGGACGACGCTGGCGTAGCAGCAGCAGCAGCAGCAGCAGCAGCAGCAGCAGCAGCCCAATTCATCGGCTGGGACATGTGAACAACAAAATGTCTCTGGAGCAGAATGACCTTTCTGGAACCATCGATGACCAAGTTCCAAGTTGTCACACAAACAATAAAAACAACCGATCACGCCAAGGATGAACTCCCTGCGCGCACTCTTTCCCCTCACACTATTCCCAAAAAGTGCCTAGTTCTTACCATCCAGGCTGCAAGCCACCATATTAAATGGCCCCATCACTCTCTCCTCCCGGAATCCCTTCTTCCTCTCTCCTCCTCCTCCCATCATCCTCAGAAAGTGAGACGAAATTCACCCTGCCATAATGTAGGCAGCATCTCAACCTCCTGAGCAAAATCTCCACGGTACTCGGTAGTGGTATTTACCTCTCAGCACCGACAACCAGCCCTCCCCTCGCGAGTTGTTTCCACAACCCCGAGGGGGCGAGTGTCCTTGCTGTCTGTCTGCCTTTAAGGAAGTACCAAGATCCATGCGGGCATCAATCAAGCATGCTGCTACTTGCGACTCCCCTCGGGAACTTGCCCAATGTGGTTGCATGAAAGTCGGTGTCCTACAATCCTTGTAATCCTCTGACTAGATCTGTAAATGTAAAGCTTGCTTTGTATAGGGCGCCTGATCCGTAAGATAGTGTAGTGGTTCTGGCTGGAGATTCTATGGAGTAGCTAGTTGCATACCCAGGGACGTACTCGTGACTTAGCTCTGGTACCTCACGCCATTGCTGTTTACTTTAGCACGGACCCTCTTTTGACTTTCCCTTGGAAATACTACTAGCTAACGAGTACAGTACAATGCGCGGGAGCAAGCGAAGCAGAAAGCTTCCTGCCGCGGTCGGTCGACGGTGGTGCGGCTTAGACTTCCCGCGTCTGGTAGCCGAGCACGCACGAAGTAGTGATGGGATGGGATGGAATGGAATGGTGATCCGCACTTTCGGGTAACAATTCGCTATTGATCGTAGTGTAACTTGCTGCTTCGGGCGAAAGGCAACCATGCAGGGATTGACCTTTGGCGAAGGTACTGTGGATACTCCGGTCATCAAGGTTGCTTTTTCTGGGCTGGTGGGCAGCAAAATCTGATCATCCGCTATTTGGATAACCATTAGAGAGGATCCACAAGGCATATGCTACGCTGTTCGGAAAATAATCTAGGCGCTGATGTTTTTTTGTTCAAACAATTCATTGTGTTTTCGTTGTACTGAGACCATATTACATTGTCAACCAATTAAGTATCCAACAAACCATACCAAACCAAAAACCAAAGACATTAAGCCACAGTCCCGGGCTGAAATCAACCAACGGCGAATAGATATACATGGCCAGCCCGTATCTTTTCATGATCGCACTTGTCGAATACCGTTGCACTTGGTCCTTCACAATCGTTTATCCATTGCAGGCTCAAGCCATCTTCGACTGTCTCTCTTACAAGGCAACAGCAATGGCGGCAGCAGCGGCAGCAGCACCACCGAAGACGTAGCTGAAGCGGTCAGAGTTGGCAGCCCCAGTGAAGAGGGTGGAGCTGGCGGAAGCAGAGGGGGTGCTGGAGCTGGAGGGGGTAGCAGAGGCGCTGGCGGAGGTGGGGATCACGGGAGACGAGGTTTGAGCACCAGTGGTAGCGGAATCGCCCGTGGTTGCAGCGGCAGCGGTGGTCTCGCTCTTCTCAGTGGCGGAAGAAGCAGCGCTGGTGGCGGTCTTGTCACTGGCGGAAGAGGCAGCGGAAGTAGCGCTGGAAGCGGTGCCAGAGCTAGTAGCAACATCCTTGTACTCATCGACACCCTTCTGGATGGCATCGGTGATGCCAGCAGACAGTGAACTGGCAAGGCTAGAGAGAGACTCGGGAACCTTGGAAGTGAGAGCGTCGGCCAGGCTCTTGGCAGCAGTGTACTGCTTCTGGAGCTGCTGGTAGACAGTGGCACCAGCACCAGCCGAGACGAACTGGTCCTTCTTCGAGATCAGGTCGTTGACCGCAGTCTGAACGTCCTTGGTCAGGTCCTGGACAGGACCAGGGATCTCGAGAGCATCGGTGGAGCTAAGATCGTCGCCGCCGTTAACAGTGGTGGTACCCGAGTTGATAGTTGAGACCAAGTCGGTCGAGGCAGACTCGACCTTGGAGGGGTCTCCACCGCTGTAGCTGTTGATGGCAGAATCAAGGGCCTTGACCTTGGTCTCGATGTCGGCAAGAACGCTGGTCACTGCGGCGACATCACGCTCAACGAGGCTGGGCTCACGGACGACCTTAGTAGGGTTGGCCAAAACACTGGTGGCCAGGCCCAGAGTGAAGAGAACACTGGTGAACTTCATTTTGACGATGAGAACGACGGTGGATTAGAGTCACAGATATTAGACTGTGTAGGCTAAACGAATGCTCAAGTCCGATTGCTGTAGGAGGCAGGCGATCTAAAGAATGTATCGATGCTGGTGGTCATGGAGGCTGCAAGTGTAGCCCTCTATATATAGAGAGAAGTCCGATGTACATCCTCACATGTGCACCACGGCACGGGGGCCGAGGCCAAATTTGGACCAGGGGAAGGTTTTGCTCCTCCGATGGATCGTGTCATTGCCAGGACCAAGGCTCTCCTCCATGATTGACCCCAATTTAGGACGAAGAGGGGGTGGTGCCTGGGAAAGCTAGGCAGGATCGTCAGTGTGATGGTCGTTCTGGACCAACGATTTGATGACGGGCTCATTTCCCGCTCTGCGAAGTGGCTACAATCTTGATTGCCTCTTTCCAGGGTGTCCGGCTGGCGGAAGATGGCGGCAGCGGCGATCTGTATTCGGAGGTTAGACAACTAGGAATTATTGGGAATAGAGAATAGCGTGCGGCGTACTGTTGGAAGGCTGGAGTAGACCTCAGCTACTTCGAAGTGGGTAGCATTCAAGTTGTGAGCAGCAATTGATTTGAGTTCAATGGTGGACGAACCAACAATTAGTGGCCACCAGTGTTGACCCAGCCGGGGACCCACCCCCGGATTCTCATTTGTTTATTTGTGTTGCATTGGCTAAGAGGACCGACCTAAAGACGGAGCGAGTGATACGGTGGTGCATGGCGCAGAAATTTCCCTCAGGGTCTGAGAGTGGGTTGGGTTGAGTAGTCGATCCAGGGAAGAAGAGTAAGACACCATCACTGCCAGGAATGATGGTGAGTGTAAAGTGAGGTGCTCCGTATGAGGAATAGATTCCAGGTGGAGTCCAGGACTAAAGTTACCCCGCACCTTCCCTGGCTCAAATTCGGGGCTTTCCGTTGGGTGGATTTAACCAGGGATCTTCCGCTTCTTTCCCTCAATTCGGCAATACGGCCGACCCACGGATGGAGACTGCACAAATTCCCCATCCCCCCCCCAAACATCATGGATCTCTTTGCTTTTGCCTGATTATTGCGGTCAAAAGGCCCATTTTACTCCTGAGCGAAAAGAGGGCGCCAGAAGGGTGGAAAAGGAGACCGAGGAGATCTGCAGGTCCGGAAGCAATGAAGGCCCGAGTTCGCCACTGGGCAGGAGAACCTGGATGCAGTGTCTGTTCCTGTGAGTTTCTGTGGTGTTCTGCCACTTCGCTTGGCTTAGACTATGGAGATGAAATGCTTGCCTACTGACTTTAGCTCCAGGTATCAAAAACCCCGCACGGGTCCAAAATAGACTAGGGATTCTCCGTAGCTTAGACCCTCCGTCCATGTACTGTCTACTCTTCGTACCTCCGGACCACGCCTCGCTAATATGTGCAAAGACTCAGAATTATCACACTCTCCTGTACAAGGTGTTCGTCCGCAGACGTTGTTCTTGTCTTACCTTGCCTCATGTACACTTCCACGTTACACAGATTGATGCTTGGGACGCACATGTTTGCTTTGGATCCCTGAAAGGAAATACAACTCCTTTTCTGCATCAGAGCATGAGTGGGCATGCTTGACGGGATGACCAATTGTTGCTTATTTCGATGCAGCCAATGCATTCCTTAAATCAGGTGGCGAGCATGACGTGACATATGGGCACATGAGTCAATTTATCTTACCAACGGCAAATGCATGGCAGCAAAGCTCTATGGAGCTTCGGAAGAGACTCGACCACTTGCTGAGCTATGTAAGCACCCCAGAGGTGTCATGTGCACATCTGCACTCTAGGCCCCTGCTTTCTATTGTTGTTGCTTTGATAATCTGTGCAAATAGGACGTTCGGGTCCAGCCTAGCTATAGACGAATTGTTCTATTAGGCATTATTTTTTTTAGCACTTCTTCTGACAGCCCCAAGTATTACGTACCTCCCAGACGGTGTGATGATTCTTCGCGAACTCCGTAAGAGCCCAGATTATGTTAATGCACCTAGAGAGTCTTACGAACCCACCCCTCCGACGCAAATTGTCTATACTACACACGATTTCCGGCGCCCGCTTCCCACGTCTCCTACATCGGGAGGAAGTTTGTTTTTTCTCATAATTTATCCTGCAAATATTCAAACGCCCGTCCGAATTGAGGCAATGTAGCCATACTATGAAACAAGCTTAGTGAACCGGTTTGAATCTCAACGGGGCCGGAACAGAGATAAGCTTTGCTGCGGATGCTACGAACGCAGACGCCAAACCACCGAACCTATGTTCCTGAAAATCATTCGCATACCCAAAACAGATGTTTGACGCATAAGTAGGTTTCGAGAAGCCACTGGATCACCAACCCAGATCTCACCTCATTCGACTTCTAAAGTAGTTTGTTCGAGTCTATGTTTATGATGATCGACGAGCCTGGCCGGGCCACTTCCCCTGCACCCCACGGGTTCCATATTTTGGGTTTAAGAATCGGTGTTTCAACCCGAGTAGATCGACAATTAGAATTTTTATCTCGCAAACAATTGCCAACTGCTCCAATCTGCGACTGAAGACCTCGTTATACTACAATCGGAATATGCGCAGTTCGAAAAGTGTTTGACCATCGACAGGTTTGAGACTCGATGAAACGTGCGCTACGTCAGCATAGTTGCAACATGTGTAGCCTTTGCTCGTGGAACAAATAACACAAGTCTCTGCTGCATCTATCCTGGCAGTAGAATGTTGGATGAGACGGATAGATTTGTCGTTCAGAATCTTACGATGTAAGTGATCAATGCTGTAGGTCGTGCCATGGATGCCTGCAATCACTTTTGAATCTTGACTCAATGCTTACTGGCCTCTAGAGGACTTGGAATCTTCTCTAGTATACTGCACATCAAGCTAGCATTGATGCTTATTGAAATGTCTTTTTATTTGATGAAGCAGCACTTCTCGCCCTGTCAGGCTCGCATGTCGCTATTGAGATAGTTCTAGGCTCCCATGAGACCCCTTTGCTGGTCACCTCATCGCTGGCCTTACATGTCTTTGCATCAAGGCCAGACTGCCAGTTTATCAATTCAACTGAGCCTGATACCTAGCCATATTTGGGTATATCGAACTGGTAGTCCTACATGTTTTGTTTCAGCTCATCCTGAGTGTTAAATCATATCTGATGACAGAAACGAAGACTCTTTGCATTTATTCTGCGCAAGTGAGCTATAGTAATTGACCCACTAATTATCACTAATTATGACATTGTTCTCCTACCTTAGTGACACGCATTCGTTGACAGCCTATTCAGCCATGAGCAAATAGTTAGTTGACCTTTGGTGTGCTTGCAGTATGTAACTGCCATTCATGACAGCCTCACCGCCTTGTCAGCCCTGGACCCACCTCTTGTATATCAAAGCGGTCCGTGCGCAGATACTCAGTGAATCTGCCCTAATGTATATGATCAGGATAAAGTCAGAAACTGAACATAAGTGACCCCACGTGAAGGAATGTTGAAATTTCCATGTTGCTTCTGCCTAATCCTTTGATAACAATTTGAAAAGCCTGTCCCTCTGTTTGCCCAAACCAACCGCCTCTTTTGTTTGTTCATTTTGATCTCCCTATCCATCCCGTGTTAACCCACACAATTTTCTTTCTACCAACATCATCTGAGCTCGGACTTGAACTTCTTTCTTTCAGAGATTCAAGAGACTTAAGAGACGCTCCAGCTTCTTGAGCCATGGATGGGACTGGCCAACCGCCGCTAGGTCCTCCAAGAGCCATGGGATCAAGTAGAGCTCGTCGCGGTCGACGTCAAGTTTCTCGGAATCAACATCCTGAAATGCAGAGAACCGATGATCAAGACACAAGACCTCCCCACGGAAACCGTCCACATGGAAATACTTCACGTGGAAACCCTTCTCGTGGACCAAGACTTATGGTGAGAAGAGTGCAGCGGGGAAATGCTCAAACTTTTCCTGTCGCACCGATCGAGACCAGGTACGAGAATGACAGTGCTGCACGTCAAGTCTTTCTGCTAATGCCTTAGACCTTCAACAAGTTCTAGACTTCAAAGATCTAGCCGAACTCTACCTCCACAGACTCAGGAGCCGCTTTCAGCACCGCAGGTCAAAGACATTCTTGAGAAGGGGCTGTTCATGGTCGAGCGAAGCTCAGATGAACGTCAGGATTTCATCACAAGTCTTGCGACAGAAGAAGGACTTGCTGTTGTTCGACAAATCGTTGAGACCGAGTTTGCCAAGTCATATAGTGTCCTTGGTCTAATGTTTCAGGTCCACGGTATCCTCTTTCTTCAGCTTATCACGAATGACAGACTTTTGTCATCCCTTGCGCTCGAACGTCAAGTGGGAACCATTTATAACGTGATCTATGGGCCCAGTGGACGTCGTGCTGTTACATTTTTCACTCAAGTGACAGAGCACGTTATTCGCATGAGGCCTGAATCAAGCACTGCCAATGAGAGGTCAATGGGTAATGACGTGTCTGAATTCGAAGAAACACTGCTGCTTGTTGCGAAAGCTTTTCTTACCACCTTGACCTTGAACCAAGAGGCTGCCATTCAAACTGCTTTTGCGCCTATTGTTGAAAGTCTTTGCACCTGTTATAAAGACGAAGATATCTTCAGTGGCGTTGCCTCTCATGGCTTGCAGTGGGTCCATGACAACATCATAAAGCTGAAAGATGTCTTGTCCATGGGCGAGTCGCTCAATCGCGCCACAGCCGTATCTTTTCATCATGATACCCAACACAAGCTACCAAAGGCCAAAGTGTTTCAAGTCGACTTACCAGGCGAGCTATCTGCTCATGGGCCTCGACACGACAATGATCACGCCTCTATCCCACACATCCGCCTGCTCCCAACCATAAACGAAATCTTTTCTCTCGAGCGAGCAGAGTTTCTCCCAGCGAGAGATCCGGTATTCGATACATTGGACCAACATGAGACTGGTATTCGTCGGCTTCTCGATAACCAGTTCCGCCTGCTGCGTGAGGATACCGCTGGCTTGCTCCGCGACTCAATTCGGTTGATTCTGCACAACTGGGATGTCCTCGTGCACCAGCCAGATTGGCGCTTGAAGCGAAGGATCCTTCGTGACAGTGACATCACGCCTGCGCGTATCTATCTTGGGGTGAATGTCCGGCAGGTCCGAGCGGGTGGAAAGAAAGGCATTGAAGTTGATCTCGAATTTGACCAGCCTTCAAGACTGAAAGCCATGAGCCCAGCCCGACGCAAGCAATGGTGGCAGAACTCTCAAGCCTTGAAGGAGAGTCCGGTGGTTCTTGCTCTAGTCGACGGTGAAGATCACACAAACGTCTCTGTGACTTTCTTCCAGGTTGCTAAGAGAGATCTAAACCTCAACGCCACTCCACCTGCTTCACGAGAAAATGTGCCCACACCCGTCCATGGTCTCGTTGCGAGTGCTACACGCGCTTCGATCAGCCTCAGATTGACGAACCACTTTCATGAAACGGAGCTCACAAATGTTTTCAACTTTGCACGCTTCCAGACCAATAAAAAGCCGCTTTTGTTGGCCGAGTTTCCAGCTGTGCTTTTGAACTCATTTGACGGTGTCTTACAATGCTTGCAAGCTCAGTATGCACGCCCAGAGCATCTACCGTTCGCCACCTGGATTGTCCCTCGTCCAGATTGGAATTCCCGGAAGCAGATTGCGTCGATTGATCCCATGGAACAGTATGTTACCGTGCCCCCGCCTGCCTATCTTGATGTCCACAGGTCTCTGGATCTATCCTCCCTTTTTGGAGACCCAATTGCGGATGACAGCACCGAAACAAGCAGAAGCAGCGATGACCCCACCCCATCCTTCTCTCTCCAAGACGACCCAGCGTGGGTAGCAAATGAGCTTGCGAACACAACAAGCCTCGATAAGGGTCAGGCGACGGCGTTAGTCTGGGCCCTCCGCCGCGAGATTGCACTCATACAGGGACCGCCGGGAACAGGAAAGTCATACGTCGGAATACAGCTGGCCAAGTGCCTGTCATCGAATAGGGACTTGCTTGACCTTGGTCCGATATTATGTGTATGTTACACTCCCCACGCGCTCGATCAATTTCTGCAAGGTCTCCTCAATGCAGGAATTGCAAGCATCGTGCGCCTTGGCCCGCGAAGCGCATTCCCACACTTGGAAGCACTATCTATCGACAGTTACAAACAGGCTGATCGAGGGCCATTTATCCGAGCTTATAATAATCAGCGGAATTCCCACCACGATAAACTCAAGGAAATTTCGGCGGAACTCGAACAAGTATGCAGATCGATGGAGACCGGTGGCATGGAGATGACGCTGTGGTTCGTCAAGAAGCGCTTCCCATTTGAAGCAGAACGTATCACAGCTGTCGATCCCGACCGAAGTGAGGTCGAGGCTTTCAGGCTTTGGACACAAGGTGATGATGCTAGTGCTTGGGTGGAGATCGATGGGCCGCGTTCTCCCGAAGAACTCTTGCAGGCCGATGTGTGGACACTCTCGCCGGCAGAACGCATGCGCTTGCATGACTTTTGGCATGAGGGAGCACGCGATGAACTTCGGAAAGTCTTCTCGTCCTTAGTGAAAGCATATTACAGGCAGAAACAGAACTTAACCGCCATATATCACGCGGCCGAAGCTCGCATGCTGCAAGGATTCCAAGTCATAGGTGTCACGACGACGATGTTGGCGAATCTCTCGTCCCAAATTCGTGGCGTTCAGGCTAAAATCTTGATTTGCGAGGAGGCTGGAGAGGTACTCGAATCGCATGTCCTGACCGCGCTATTGCCATCGGTGCAGCATGCCATTCTGATCGGAGACCACCTTCAGCTTCGTCCACGGATCAGCACCCTCAGACTTTCCATGAGTTATGACCGTGAAGGAGCAAAATACGGCCTCGATGAATCACTGTTCGAGCGACTCGCGGATAGCCATTTTGGAGGCAATGATGGCGACGAAGAACAGACGGGAGGGCGTCGATTCCCTGTTACGCAGTTGAATATCCAGCGACGCATGCATCCCTCGGTTGCTAATCTAGTTCGCGAGACGCTCTATCCGAAGTTGCAAGATCACATTTCCACAACTATGTATCCTGCTGTTGCGGGAATGAAGCACCGACTATTTTGGCTTGACCATCGGAATACAGAAGATGATGGTGACCCTTCAGATCCCATGCATAGCAAGACTAATACATGGGAAGTTCACATGGTGATATCGCTCGTAAGGCATCTTCTGAGACAAGGAAAGTATGGTCCTGGCGAGATTGCTGTTCTGACACCATACGTCGGACAATTGAGAATGCTTAAGGATATTCTTGAACAGGAGATGACCCTTATAATTGGTGAGAGAGATACTGAAGGACTGGGTGAGGCGGAGGTTACAGAAACAGCCAATGAGCCTAGCGGTCGTGGTGAAAGATGGCTCCAGGGACAACGTGTCGTGAGCAAGGGTAGCTTGCTTGACGCTCTGAGACTGTCAACGGTTGACAATTTCCAGGTACGTTAGATCTGTACTACCTTCTACTTTTCTTCACGCCACTGTGTCGCGCACCAAACTAACCATGAGTTCAATCCAGGGCGAGGAGGCAACCGTTGTTATTGTTTCCCTGGTCCGAAGCAACAGGTTCAGAAATTGCGGTTTCCTTAAGTCACCGAACCGCATCAATGTTCTACTAAGGTAAGCATGTTCGAGAAAATCAAGTTAAGATTGGACAACCGTCGCTGATATTTCTTCCCCCCCAGTCGTGCAAAACATGGCATGTACCTCATTGGCGATGCAAACACGGCCTCAACAGCGCCGATGTGGGCGTCTGTCATCGAGCTGTTCGAAAAGAACGAGCACATTGGACCGTATCTCGAGCTCGACTGCGAGCGCCATCCCCACAATGCCATGCAGGTCTCGTGCCCCGATGACTTCTCCGTCAAGTCCCCGGAGGGTGGTTGCGCGGAGACATGCGGCTTGCGACTGAACTGCGGGCATACTTGTGTGGTTAAATGCCACTCATCCAAACAGCACAACGCAGTCAAATGCCTTCAAAAGTGCTATCGAATGAGCCGGTGCGGTCATCCATGCGCGAAGAAGTGCTACGAGCCATGTGGCCCATGTACCGCCCTTGTCTGCAACGTCATGCTACCTTGTGGACATAGGATTGACAAGGTTGAATGCTCACGCATGAACAGACTTGACACTGTGCAATGCACAGCAGAGCTTGTCGTCAAATTGCCCTGGTGTGACCACAGCTTCAAGGTTCAATGCCACGAGAAGGGGAAACCCATGAAGTGCTCCCTTCAGTGTGGACTGGAATTACCATGCGGGCATAGTTGCCAGAAACTATGCTCTTCCTGTCGAGTCCAGAGGAAGGAAGTGACTGTCCTTGATCATGGTAGATGCATTAGTGTCTGTCGCAAGGGCTTCACAAATTGCGCGCATTCCTGCGACCGTATATGTCATCCTGCAACGGCATGCTTGCCTTGCCGCCGCCCGTGTGAAGTACACTGCAAGCATAGCCGTTGTTTTAAAACGTGCAAGGAACCGTGTCCTCCGTGCGCAGAGCTATGTGACTCTGGCTGCGAACACCGCGAAGCTTGCAAGCTCCCCTGTGCCGTTCCATGTGAAAACAATCCATGCAGTCGACGTTGCGAGAAGAGATTGAAGCCGTGTGGACATCAGTGCCCGGGAATGTGTGGAGAGCCATGTCCACCTTCGCAGTTTTGTCAAATCTGTGCTCCACACGAAGTCCTGCAACAGCAGGTTGACCTTCTGGAGTTCAAGACCTACAGAGAGATTGACCTGAATGCATCGCCCCTAATTTTCCTCCCGTGCAACCACTTCTATACCGTTGCTTCCCTGGATGGACTTTTAAGTATGAATGATTACTTCAATATTGATGCGTCTACAGGCGAGATTATTGGAGCTAAGCCTGCACATTGGGAGATGATGCCCGGGTCGGCGCTGAAGGGCTGCCCAGAGTGCCGCCGCCCCCTCAGAGACATCAACAGATACAGTCGTATCTTGAAAAGATTTCTGCTGGACGAGTTTACCCGCAAGTTCGTCACGTTGGCCAGTGCACAGCATGCCGGGCTCGCAGACAAGATTGTTCGCTTCGAGAAGCAAGTTGACGATTCGCGGACCGAGTTCCTCAAGTATTGGATCCATGAGGCTGGTGGATCGAAAAGCAACGACCAAGCCAGAGGCGCAGTACAAGCTTATCGAGGTGCAGGGATTGGCCTGGTAAAGAAGGTGAAGGAATACGTCAAGTCTGTTGCGACCGCGGAACAGCCGCTAGGCAAGTTGAACGACATGCTCGCGTCTGCCATTTCACGCCAAAACGAAACTACAAGCACAAAGCCCATCGCTAATAAATCCGCCATACAAACTGGGTTCGGCCTGCGTGGGCAGGTCCTCGGGCTCAGACTCGGCTGGGTCGTACTCCGCGATTGGGATCACATTTGCAGCAACCGGAACGTGGATCACCGCATCCGTAATAACCTAGTCCAACTGACGGCCAGTCACATCAAGTCTCTGATTGAAAAGTGTCTTTCGCTGAAGCAGACCACGATGAAGGCTAATCTTCTGCAAGAACGAGTCGAAGTTGGGATCTACTTTGCTCTGTTTTCCATGCTTTCGTTGAGCAACATGCGGGCACTCGGCAAGACTGTTGAGTTGGACACCGAGAACAAGACCCGCCAGCGTGCCCAAGACGACCTTGCGTTCTGTGAGAGATTGTGCACCAAGTTGCCGAAGCTCTTGGGCTATCTGATGGAGGATATCAAAGACGCACGGAGGACTATCAATGACGGGACGTTCTATGCTTTGGTGACCAGCGAGGAGAAACGCCAGGTGTATAGAGCGATGGCGGAGCAGTTCGCAGGAACGGGGCACTGGTACTATTGCCAAAACAATCACCCAGTAAGTGTCTGTCTTTTCAACGCTGAAGTACAACGTCGTGCTTTTGTTTGACCACCCACCATCCCTTACTACTCACAGAGTTGCTAATGTATTCATCTCATAGTTCACTATTGGCGAATGCGGCATGCCCATGGAGGAGGCCCGATGTCCCCAGTGCGAGGCCCCAGTTGGAGGGTTGAACCATCAGCTCGCTGAAGGCGCGAGACCAGCCGAGGATATGAACCGGGAATTTGGCGAGACAGAGCTCACCGAGCAGGACATCAGGGAAGGGATGATAATGGAGGAGCTGAGAGAAGAAATGGTGGCCGGTGGAGTGGAAGGAGATCTGATCGAGATGTAAATCAGACGACGAAGAAACACTCGGTACTGTTTTGGAGGAGGTGATCAAAGAACGACGGTCATGAAGGATGGGATAGTGGAACAAATTGCAAAAACGTGTGACTTATTTTGGAAGGTAGAATGAATCAACAGTGCTGAGGATTTGTCGTGCCCCTCCATCCCTCCTCCATCCTACACCCACCAACCCACCCGCCTCTGAGCTGTCAAATGCCCCTCCTTCCATGCGGCATTTTTCTTTCATCTCTGCCCCTCCCCCTTCGCCTCTCCACCATCATTCTAACATCAGCATGAGCATTGGAGCATGCAGGAATTTCTCCCCAGCGCGTACAGCGGGAAAAGAATGTGGCAGCCTTATCAGGCGAGGGATGAGCGGAGCCCAGCGGCTAGGGCGAAAAGCAAACTAAACTCGACCGAGAGTGCCTTGCATGCAGCTAGGTAGCTGCCTACAGCTGCAGCTTTGTTCCCCCCCTCCGTTCCACGTTCACTTTCCGCCTTCTGACCTCAACGGAGAAAGAGAATTCGACGATCACTCCCGAGCTTCGCTTCGGGGCTTTCCAGGTTCCGACATCCCCTGCCAGATTGGATCGATATGATACGCGCAACGGTCACGGGGATCTTATGCAGAAGAGGGAGGGGGACTGTGCTGTGCGCAAGGTGCAAGCTGCTACTGCGTGAGGATACGAGGATAGATGGGTGAGTGTCTCTTGCTACGCTGTGGGTGGTTGTGCTGTTGATGTTGAGGTAGGCTGATCATTTTGACTAAGAACGACTCGATGATTGACTAGATTCCGTCCAGGTAGACATCAGAAAGCGAGAAGATGAAGATGTTGGGATACAGGACCTGAGACTGCTAAGAGGACTCGATTGGTACTAAACTGATACGCTTTCGCTTGAGATAGACAGCGCTTGTTGTGAGTCCAATCGAACCAGACGAGCCATAACCCCCACCATCCAGTTTGAACTCCTTCGTATGGTTGCTTGCGTATGGCTGCCTTCGCCTACACACGCCCCCCTCTATCAACCGCCCACCAGCCACGCCTGCTTTCCTTCTACGCGACGATCACATTTCAGCTCTTGCTCGTCGCAGACAACCAGGCCTCTCAGACTCATAGAAGATGCAGCAGCAGCAGGCCATTTGGGCATTTCGACATGCAGCATACAGCTCGACCACCTGATATCAATTTACCTACCTACTTGCCCTCCAACCCCGCAGTCCACATATGCAAAACTCAATTGCCTCCCCGTGATAGGGCTGATAGAGCTCCAAGATACCTCCAGCTACTCTGCCTGGAAAAATACCTGCACGAGCTTCCGTTTCACTGTGGACCCAGCCGTGTTCCCACGCTTGCAGCTGCTGGATGCTTGCTGTACGCTGTATGCTGAAATGCCCAAACTGGAACCTGCCACGCAAGGAAGCAAGCAGCACTGCACATGCAGTGGACATTTGACACCTCACATCCACCCCAAGGCAACTGAATATCGGGGGTTTTGGAGGGGTTGGAGTGGGATGTATTCAACCCACTCTCTATATCGATGCCGTAGACGAGACCAGAAGAATGGGGATATAAACCCCCTCGAGCACCAGCGAGATAACCTCTTCCATCCCAAGCCATCCAGCCAACGGAGCATCGAACAGTCTTCTTCAATCCAAAGGATCCTCAATCCGGAACAACATCATTCAAAATGGTCCAGGACGCTAAGGTGAACAGCCCTTCCTTTTCTTGATGTCCTCAAATCGAAACATGAAAAGACAAGCTGACGCCTGTTGTGGAAACAGAACCTCTACTATTCCCTGGACTGGTTCCAGCAGATGAAGAAACAATACGACGAAGCGGTAGGTTTCCATACCCAGTGCTGCACGCACTCTCGACGCTGACTATGTGCCTGCTTCGCCCAGTCCTCCGACCGCTGCTGTGAGTCTTGAACCCACCCACTTTATCCGCCCTTTGTGCACGCGAAAGAGAAATGGGGTTGGCTAACCACAACTCCAGTGGGCATGTCCTTCGACGAGGCCGCCCGCCACATCTCCAAGGATGGTCTCTCCATGACCGCCGATGAGGCCAAGGAGTTCGACGAGAACCACGACGGCAGCATCAACTTTGAGGGTGAGTGCTTCTCTTCCTTGTTTCAATCAAATTCTTTTCAGTCAGGTACAGAGCTAACAGCTGATGGATACAAAGAGTACCTAACCATGCGCTTCAAGTACGATGCCCTCCGCGAGGGCAACATGCGCGGCCGTCTCCTCGCATAAGCGTATAGACACTGAAACGCAAATGCACATACCACGCTGGAAGGGTGGAAGGGATCAAGACTCTATTCCCTTATATACATAAATCAAGACCCCAGCGGCATGATAATGACATGACAACGAATCAACTCCGATACTCACTGCTTCCTTAGCGTAGAACAGAATTGAGAGAGACCCTAGGTATAGTAAAGTAACCTATTAGCATCCCCTCACCCCACCCAGCACAGACAATAATCGCCAAAGAACCCTTCAAACCGCAAAAGAGGGAGCCCTCTAGCCCTCATGATAAAGATATAGAGTCCAGCCCCCCTAAGCAGGAATCCTCAACACCGCCCTCCCCTCCACCGCAAACCGCCCCAACAACCCCGCCACCTCATTGATCTCCCCCAGCTCAAACACCGTCACATGGGTGACCACCTTGCCCGCGACCGCCATCCGCAGCAGCGCCTGCATTTCATCCTCGGTGCCGACGGCGCTGCCCACGATCCGGTACCCGCGGTCCACGCACATCAGCGGCGAGATGGGGAGGTGGTAGTCCGGCCGGGGCAGGCCCACGCAGACGAGGGTGCCGACGGGCCGGAGGAACTCCACGCTCTGCTCGTAGGCCTTCTCCAGGCCGACGACCACGATCACGGCGTGGGCGCCGATGCCGTCGGTCAGGGATTGGATGTGGGTTGTGGGCTGCAGTGCGAGTTCTTAGTTTTCATGACGACAAGATTTGGTAGATGGTGGGCTCTTAAGAACTTATACGTCGTCGCTAAAGTCCACAAATGCCTCCGCGCCGGATCGCATGCAGATGTCTCGTTTGGATTCGCTGTAAGCTCGTCAGCCGGGAATTCTCGGTTTGGCTGGAGGGCAGAGGGACTTGCCTATCCACGGCAATGATCCTGTAGCCCATTTCCTTGCCGATTTGGATTCCTCTAGCCGCCGGGAGCATTTAGTACGCCGTGTATTCTGAATTGGAAGAGAGGGGAGGGAATAGGGAAAGATACAGATGACCCAGTCCCCCGCCGGCACCCATGATCACCACCCAATCGCCCTTGTCGCAGTATTTGTCGAGCTTGTTCAATGCGCCGTACATGGTGAGGCCAGCTTGGGATAGACTCATTAGATATGAAGCAAGCATGTAGAGGAAGGAGGGGAAAGCTATACCACACAGCAACGGGGCAACAATTTCCGGCTTCAGGGTCTCCGGAATCGGGGACACGAAGTCGGCGGGTGAGACAACGTACTCTACAACAACCTTGGATCAGCTATCCCCCCAAAAGTCCCTGACAAAAAAAGATCCACTCACGCTGAAACGTCCCCGGCACACTCTGAATTATGGATAAGTCAGCCTCTTCAGAACTTCACCACGAAAAGAGAAAGCGATATATCATGAACACACACCCGCCCCGAATTCCTCTGATTCGGACAATTGGTATACTGGACCTTGCACGTCGGACAGTCGTTGCAACTACTCCATAGCCACCTATAAAACAACAAGAAGCGTCAGCATAAATACCAAGCAATCCTACCCTCTCCACACCAGTAAACCGAGAACAAAGGCAACGAGACGAAGGGAACAGACTTGACACCGACTCGCTTACCCAGCATATCACTCGGGGCATTCGGACCGACTAGCATCATTCAAATGCAAATCAGCCAACCACCTCTCACTGACGCACACGATACAACAGCACCAGAAAAGTCACGGAGGAGAGGACACACGCTTAACCACCCTCCCGACCCCCTCATGCCCGACCACATTCACACTCAACGGCAATTCCCCATAAATGCAATGCAGATCCGAGTGACTACCAAGTATGTAATCAATCCCAGTGCCCGGTCCCGGGGCAAAGAAAGACCGGGAAAAAGGCCAACGCACCAGAAACCAGTACACTCCAGCTGAACCAGCACCTCACCGTCAGCCGGCTCGGGGACCGGGATATCATGCCGCAGTTCCAGTTGCGCGTGCGGGCGCGGATTCTCGATCCAGGCGGCAGTCTGGACTTGTGGGATTGGGGTCATTTTCTTCTCTTGCTGGCGATGGGAGGCGATCTTTTCAAGGATTTGTGTATAGGTGAGTGTAGAGCAAGGACAAGGGAGCTGAACGTGGAAATTATCTATGATCGCAGCTTCGATTCAAAGGTTTGGTTCTGCCGGGGGGGGGGGGGGGGGAGTCTGGGGAATGGGGAAAGGACGGATCGAACTCGGCAATCGCGATCCCGATGTTCAGTGCCGATGGCGGAGATACGGATTTGTCAATCATGGCGGACGTGGGGGGAAGAGGTGGGGTATAAGCCGGTGAAGGGGGGGTTCTTCAGGATCGATCGATCGATTCCATTCTCTGAGGCTGGGGTAGAGGAGATTCGATATTTGATAATTCTGCAGCATAGTATCCGTTCGAAGCTGGATTGGGTTGGAAATTTTCCAAGGGAAAGGTAAGCTGGATAGGAAGTTGATTGCTAGACAGTTATCGCCCTCCCCCCCCCAGTCTATCAGCTACATAGAAGCAGGCGCCACAGGTACGACACTTGATATCTGCTTTGAATCATATTTCAATATATTATGACCTCCGATTCTGAGACATACATAGTAGCACGGATATTTATAGTGCCCGCATAAGCACTAACTACCAGTAGATGAGCTTACACTTGACCCCCTACTTCCCTACTCCTCCGTGCACTCTCGGGGGGCAAAGCTATATCAATAATCCTTATAGCTCCTCGCCCAGCAGCGCATATATAACAAGCCCCTACGCTACCTACCACTCCCAATTCCAAATTCTCATTCAGCCTCCAGCCTGACAAAATCTGCACCAAATTGAGCGTCACCTCACAAAACCGAAACCATGAAACCCAGCACCACCATCCTCCCACTATCCTCCCTCCTCCTGCTCCCAATCCCAGTCCCTCTCACCCTCGCGGCCACCTTCGTTGAACTCGTACCAGCCCCTGACCCTATTCCCCCACCTCAAAGGCAATCTCTAACAGCGAATCTCCCAAAGGAAGTAAGCTTCTACGGCTCCACCCTCGGGATCCCCGACTCCACGGCCTCCGTGCAAGTCCCCATCGGCAACCGCTCCGTGGTGCCGGCCACCTGTACGGATCTCCCTCTGACGTAGGTTCTTCTCCCTCCTTGAATTCTCTACTCAGGGAGGAACCTGGCTAATGTGCTGCAAGGGCGTACAACGCGACGTTGTTGCCGCAGGATCCTCCGGTTGAAGTCGAGTGTTATCTTCTTGGGTACGTTATTTGCCTTGTTCTGCTGTGCTGCGCTTGCCACTGGGTGACGGGTGAGCTATGAGATGGGTGTTGGTCTGGGGGATATTGGCTGACAAAGGTGCATGAACTAGACTGCCCTGTCGGGATGTCGTGGGGACGATTTCGACGGAAGATACTTTTATCAAGCTGCTGAATCCGGCGAGGGCGGTGCAGTGTTATCCCGAGTAAGGATTCGGTCTCGTTGTAGGGGAGGTGTAGTTGGGAATTGACAGGGATCATAAAGGCTCCATCCAGTCTATTGGGAGTTAATAACATGCTTGTCGATATCATATAGCTGCAATTGAATGAGCACGTAGACATAACCAATCTGTATAGGCAAAGCTCTAACTCCCACTTTTAATCCTGTCAATCTGTGCGGAGTAAGCAAGCAACAATCTATCTGAGCCACGACAAGTCAAAAGTCCAAACCTGAACCCATCCAACTCCTTTTTATATACTCACAACCACCTAGTTAGATTGATTCACTTTCGACGCCAGAAACTCTGCTGCATCTTTCGCATACAACCCGTAGGTTTGATGAGGCGGGGTGACGAGCAAGATCTCGTCGCACACCAAATCGCCCGGTGCGCAATACACCTTGGTTCGGTCCTGCGGGTAGCCCGGGATCCCCCCGCGGTCCTGGATGTTGCGCGTGTACCCGAATAGCACCACCCCCTTGATCTTGTTGCGGACCTCGTGCTTGACTTCTTGAACTGCGTAGTCGATGACAGCGGTGCCTTGACTGCGAAATTCCCCGTGCGTCAGCTGTGGGGCTTGTGAGAGGGTGCGGGGGGAGAACAAAAGAGCAAGATGGTAAGAAAGGCGAGCTCTCGGATATGACGGATATGGAGATGAAGGCATACCTGTATCCACCCGCCACTGCCTGAGTCTTCGGACACTTGGTAGTCGCTAGCTCGAGCATGGTGGCCGCGGACGCAATCGATTTCGCATCGGTGTTCGGAGCAAGGAAGTTTTGAGGGAAGCTAGCAGTGTACATGCCATCGACACCCTGGCAGGCGACTCGATTCGGACTGATTTGCTCTTTTAGCATAACGCAGAGAAGAGGGCCGACGACCGCACCCTGTGTTGATGTCAGTTCAGGTCAGGGGAGCGTGCATTAAGGCGGCAAACTCAGGAAAAGGGGTCTATTTCACCATGTTGCCTACTTCCCCGGATCCACGAACAAAGATCAAGGTGAAGTCCTTGCAGGTCCCGCCCATGATATCATTCGCATCGGTGGGGGATTGACGAGCCTGGAAGTGATCGGCCTCCCAGACAGGCAGAGGATTTGCTACAGCCAGCGAAGCAAAGGCACCGATAAGCAGCCACATTAAATGGGCCATTATCTTCAAACGATGAGAGATAGAGTCTGATATGAACTGAGAGTTGAATCTGATGGGTCGTCGATTTTCTTGTCAGAATAAGAGATTCAGCGCCGAATATATATCTCCTACTGGTCATGGTAGCACCATGGCCTGGCTCAGAGATGGCGGTGATCCGTCCATCCCAGACCTGGTGACAAGGTCGCTTTCGTCTGTGGCGACCACTTAAGGACATCGCCGATTCGAAGATGACCTGGACCGTAAGGAATCAGGTTTAGTTCCAGGGGCGGATGTGGAAGATTGGGAGACCTGTGTGCCCCGAAGCAAGGAAATCAACGCAAATAAACTCCGGGGAGAGCTTACTCGAGCACCGATCCATGAAATAGTCCGGGGCTCAGACAATGCGGAAACAGCCGACCGACTGTCGGACCCCAAGGCAAAACCGCGTGTATTGAGTATATTCCATGGTCAACTTGGGTCGGTCTTGTGGTCAATGGTAAAGGATAAAGAAATCTCCCACGGTCTGACTGTTGTCAAGATCCTGTTTTTGACACATGGGTAGAGTTTTTGCTGACGCGGTTAGATTTTTCTGCTTCAAGAAAGCCCCTGGGATCGCTGTTCCATATACGTAGACAGAGACCTTGATGGAGATCAATTGATCTCTGCTGTCTTTCTGGTACCTTCTCAATGAATTATGGCAATGATGACGGTAAGCAGTTGAAGTAGATCTGTAGATTCAGGTATTATCACAGGAATGTTGTCGCCTTCGGTGCCGAGCTTTGGTCAGGGAAGAGTACCTAGACACGTTAGCTGAGTCTTACTCTCGCTGACCCTTGTCTAAAAGACCCTCCATGCTTCCAGTACCACGAGACCCCTATAGTACCAAAAAGGACACTCTACAAGCACGGAGGGACAGAGCTTTCCCTTGTACAGGCCAAAAAAAAAAAAAAAAAAAAACAAGCACATGCGCAGAATTGGCATGGAGATCAGTCGATCACATGCTCTTTGAAGAAGAAAATTATGTTTCACTTTGTACGTACAACATCACTGCCATTCGTTATGTGTGTATCAACGTGTCATGTACTTTACCCAATCCTCGTCCAGCTCGGATTGACTCTCACGAGCTTCTCAAGCGTCCATACAGCGTGTCAATAAAGGTCTCTCCCCATTTCGCACTATTCCAACCACCATCGATCAGTAAACGTCATGACCCACGAACCAGAGCCAGAAACACTCACCTAGTGTTCGTCTCAATAAACTTCCGCAAAGTCTCGTAGTTCTTCTCTCGGTCCTCATCGCCCATGGTCACAGCCTTGTAAAGGACATCGACCATTTCCGCCATGTTGGCCGGGTGGAAGGTCAGACAGCCCTCTTTCATGAACGACGCCGCTCCCGCAAACTCGGACAGGACTAGCACACCGTGCCGTTGCGCCTGGCACGCCACGTATTCGAACGAAACCAAGTTCATGCCATCGCGCGTAGAGGTGAGCAAACACGCGTCCGCGACAGAGTACAATGCCGTCAGCTCACTGAAGTTGACCGATCGGTGCATGTAGATCAGTGGACATCCGTCGGCCGTTGCTGCAGGAAAGAGATGGTTAGCTGAGGCCCCCAGACATTCTTGAAGCAGTTCAAGACGACAAAGAACTCACAGTGCTTTCCATTGATCCTTCCCGCAATGGTGCTGATCTCCGTCTCCAGATCCTGATACTCCTTGACATCTTCGCGACTCGGCACGGCCACTTGAATCAACACCACCTTGTTGCTGAGCTCCGGATGCTGGTCCAGGAACGTGTCATATGCCTTCAGCTTCTGCGTAAGTCCCTTGATGTGGTCCAACCGATCCACCCCGATAATGATCTTCATGCCCTTGTACCGCTCCTGCAGCTCCTTGATGCGTTTCTGCACATCTTCATTCGCTTGCGAGTCCGCGAACTTCTGCGGATCGATCCCGACAATGAATTTCTCCACCACAACCTTCCGACCCCTGTACTCGATCTGTCCCGGGGTATCGGTTTTCGCGCCCCTGTCACACCACAGACAGTGTCAGCAGTAGCTCAAGGTGTGCTTTCCCAGTAAGCAGGAAGTGAGTAAAGAAGCAGAAAAGGAAACGTACAGTGCCTCGGCAGAATGAACCATGTTCTGCTTGTACTCCTCCGTATGGAACCCGATCACATCACTGGCAAGCATCCCATCCAGCAGATCCTTCTGCACCGGCAGACTTCTCCACCAATCACCCGCCGGGAAGGGAGTGTGCAAGGAGAACCCGATCGCGCACTTCTTGTCCTTCAGCCGGTCGCGCAGCAGCCGAGGTAGAAGCATGAGATGATAGTCGTGGACCCAAATCAGAGTGCCTGGCAGGGCCTTCTCGGCGATCGTGTCGGCGAAGATCTCGTTGACGCGTTTGTACGACTCCCAGGGGCCTTCTTCGAAGGAGACACCGGATTGGTAGTGTAGACTAGGCCAGAGGATTGAGTCTGTAGGACGGGTTAGCTTGACTTTGGGTTCAAATAGGAAAGAGACACAGGAGTAAAAAGTGCTGCCTACTGGAGAAGTTGTTGTAGTGATCGTGCGCCAACTCATTGTCTAGGAAGATCGGAATCGCGTTGTGTTCGTCTAAGCTCTTGCGAAGCGACTCCCGGTCCTTCTCTTCGGCGACGTCGAGGCCTGGCCAGCCAAACCAGCTGAATTGGGTGGTTTTAGTGAGACCCGACAGCGAGGTGACTAGGCCGCCGCCCGACAGGGAGGACTGGTAGGAGCCGTCATCAGCCTTCTTGACCGACAGGGGGAGACGGTTGGAGACGACGAAGAGGTTTTGCTTGGTGCTTTCTCTGCGCGCCATGGTGGACACACGACTGGGTGGATTGAGATAGGTGAGATATCGTAGAGGTGTGCTATGTGATACTGTTGTTCTCGGCAAACCGATCTGAACGGTGGTGAAACGATGTCAAAAGTAGATAGGAAAGTAGATAAGGCTGATATAGTTTGATGTACAGATGTAGTATGCAATACGTCAGGATGAAGGCACGGAGCCACGGACTCTGACCCTCAATTATCCTTGCGAGATGCCATCAGCTTATGTCTCGGCAACATCCCTGGGAGCTGTACCCATCCAATCACTACTTGAAATTGGATCAAATGTCACGGCGATCTCCCGAGTGTGAAAGAAAGCTGGATGCTGGGTGGTTGATGCAAGTGCTCATACCAATTCACTTCACCGGCGAAGCTGCTGGTGGCTTGAACGTTGACGTCATACAGCTGTCATCAGGTACTAAGTATGTGTGCAACATCCCAGTCAATGACCACAACTTGAGCATTTATTCACCACTTTCTGAGGATACAAATTATATTTGGATCATGGTTCAAACACAAATCGGATATGTACACAATACCCTTATCCAAACTCCAAGCCCAGCCGGGACACATGCACTGAACACCTGACCGTATTGTTTTCCTATCGATAACAACTTAAAAACTCCGTTGCCACCGGCAGATGCAATTAAGAAATGAACCAAAGATACAACCACACAAGACCACCATGGAGAAATTGAGGATGATAGGCTAATAAACAGCTCACAGCAATCGCTTGACTGGACTTGGGGTGCGTAGGCGGGAATCCCGGCTACGGCCCCGTTCGGTCGCAAATCCCTTTCCTTGCGGTTGTTCCAGAAGCAGGGGTGCATCTTGTTTTTCAAATCCGGAGACTGACCCCTGACCCTGAGGGCCCATGTACCCGTAACCTGGGTCATGCTGGTAGGAGTAGTGCGATTGAGCGATCGGCGGATGATGCTGACCGGAGGCCTGTCTTGTGAAAGCTGGGGCGGGATGAGAGTAATCATGTTGGTTGTAGCGGTTGCGGAAGGATCGGAAGGACCAGTTGCTGACGACGGTGACGGTCGAAATAGTAGCTAGGAAGAACAACTGAGATGATGTTAGCTGTGTAGCCAGGCAAGGGTGTAGGTGGATCCATACAATCGCTTTCCAACTGATCGGATCAATGAAGCTGTTGATGATCACTGCCATCGTATGCGCCGACACTTTGGCACGGCCAACCTTGGCCGGGTCCCGATTCATGCATCGTTCCCAGTTCTCACACACGGTCTCCAGCGCTGGAAGGCGATCGCCGCCGGCGCACCGATTGTCAACATAGCTCTTCGCACACGCCGCCATCTCCGCCAGAATAGTATCTGACACCTCCTCCGCCGCCTGATCAAATTCAGCGCGGATAGCAGAAACGAAGCCAAAAACCACGTAGACGGCAAGCGAGAATAACGAAAGGTTCACCACCAACTGCGCCCACCACGAGAGAATGCTCGGGATATTCGGGTGCGCTTCCAGCAGGGCGAAGAAATCCGAAAACGAGGCCAAACGCGATCCAGATTGGCCTTCAGGCTGTGTTTGGTCCTGCCGTGTCTTTGTACTCTTCAGGGGTCCTGCGTCCGGGTTATCACTCTCATCATCACTATCCTCCTTCCTCAACTGTACATCTAGCGCCTTGTCCCTGCGACGTCTCTTCTGAACACGTCGCGCCAGTGCGTTCGAGTAGTGGCTCACGCGAGGGATTTCTCCGCGGCCAGGGCTAGGTGCAAACCGACCGTACATGCTGTACAACGAGTTGCGGTGTCCTGACTTCGTAGGTTGATCGGGAGTGTCTTCGTTGTCGGCATGCTCAGGGGAGGACATGTTTTCGGCGCCGGATGAGAAGTCGACATCGAATTTGCGAGGGGTCATGAAAGCTGCGTGGCTGAAGGCGGGCTTAGGTGTGCCCGGTGGCTGCTGGGTTCTAGGTTGAGAAAAGAGGTAGGGTTGCGAATTCGGCTCTCGGAGGGCAGGTAGGGACTTCTTTCCAGGGGAATCGAAAATACTGTGAGGACCTACTGGCATAATTAGCTTTTAGCAAGCTTTCTCCATGCAAGTAACATGAACGATCACAGTTGATAGACGCACGTTTCCTCTGGTTGTCATGCTTCATGCCCACCTGGTAAAAGGGCGACGTCACATCTCCGGGGGGTTTGGACTGCCACTCGAAGTCCATCGGACTTTCCGCCGTTCGCGGCTCCATCTTGTCGGAGAGAGAAAGTGATAATCAGTATCAAGAAAGAGGAAGGCAGGTGGTGGTGAGAATATAAGTTGGGGTTGTTTGAGGACGGTGAAGGGGTTGAGAGGGTCGGAGGGCGGCCAGATGCAGATGGACTTTTTTCCGATTCCTGGTTCCTTTTTTTGTTTTGGTAAACAATCCAGACTCTCCGCCGAGCAACGCTTGGTGGCGACTACCCGCCTTAGGCCCGGACAATGGGGAATCGTGTTTCTCTTTATGATAAGTCTAGATAACTACATGGATGTCAACTTGACAAATGTGCTTCGTGGTTGACAAGCTGCTGCATACCAAGGGATTGTTGGGCGAATTTCGACGTCGTGGTGATTGCATATGCATGTCTGCAGGAGCGCGGTCGGGTGGGCTTGAGCTACTGACTGCCATCACCTTACATTTCTTCTACTATGGTCTCGATCCCTTGCCAGTCAAGGTATTATCTCATTACTTATCTATATGTATGTCAATCAAATTAGACAACTGTATTGCAGGCGATCATAGCGACAATGCGGGAAGCCTCCACTTACTCGCCTCCAGCCCCTGCAATGGGTGGGTTAATCGCGACCGCGCTGCAACTAAACCTTCCCCGCACTCCGTTCTACTCTCTATACATCCATCTAATTCAAGCCATCAAGACAATCAAAAATATATACGTGCTCTAATGTACTGTCTAAAGCCAGACTAAACTAATAAGCTAGGACCGAGCCTGATGATAATAACAATGTGCTGATATAAAACAAAAAAGACCTCAGGCTTGCCCCAGCAGGCCCATTAAGAGGAGTGAATCCCAAGCACGGAGACATGATGCATGAATGATGATGATACAATCAACCAAAAGTTCAGCGCAAAAAAAATACACCTGAGTTGTTGATTCCCAACTCCAATCCGAAAAGATCATGACGCTAGAAAAACAGTAAGAGAGTGTAAGACCAGGACTCAAGGATGGACGTGGTCCACCAGTTCGAAGTCATCATCATCCGCCAGATAACCGATAGCGGTCTCGCTCTCGCGAGATATTATCTCATACGTCTTGATGATCTTCTCTGTCTCCTTGATCTCAAACTTCTCAACCGCCTTGCTCACAGCGTCTGAGAGTATAGTCTGCCCCGAAACGTCATAGTCGTGCAGGGAGCCATCCTTGTCCTCGAGCTCCTCTTGGATTCGAGTGACTGATCCCGGGGCGGCGACATCATCACCGGAAGAGTCGGACGGACCACTCTCGAGGGCCTCCCGGACATCGGCGCGAAGGGCTATCTTCGCATCGCTGGCCAGATGGTTGGACTCTCTCTCGCGATCGAACCGCAGGGCACGTGTGAAGCTATCCCACCTCGGTCAGATTTGCAATAGACTAGGCAACCACGGGAGCTTGGGGCCTTACTTCATGCTATGCGTGATCGGCATCGCTGGGCGAGTGGAAGGAAGGGCGGACGAGAGGGGGTCAGGAACAGTACGAGCACGTCGACTACCGTAAGCCCATTTCGCCTTGTGGTCGTGGGCCCGCTTCGCCTCCTTATCCGCCCGACGCATATCAAGCAGGGATTCGGACATGACGGTTAACGGAGTTACACGCTGTCTGTCAAGCGATGTGGTATGGTGAACGAGCTGTGACTGGGTCTGAGGAGACGTGTAGTACACGCTTCGGAGAAGGAATGAGTGGTGGTTGCCTGGACGAGCTCCAAGTGATGGGGGTTGAGGAGTGAAGGGATATAAAGCCGGGGAAACAAGGCTGGCCGGCGTAAGGCGCGAGAAGGAAGGGTCCTGAGTCTGAGTAATGAACCACGAACCAAAGAAGTCCCATAAACAATGACCGTGGCTACAAGGCGTTCTTGGTCTGAGTCATAAAGAACCCCGGCTGGTTCCCAGTCATCAGCGATCCGGATATTGGTCAAGGCGGCAAATGGCGCAATCCAAGGGGGACAAACCTCACTGCAAGTGAGATGGAGGCGAAAGGAAAGTAGAGAAGGAAGTGACAACCTTGTGAGGAGGGGATGGGCTAGTAGTCATTCCCTGAAATGAGGGATGGGGCATGGAGGAGGGTTATGCTCTCAATAGCCTCCCGAAGGGTTACTACTATCGGTACCTTCGTAGTTAGTTCGTCGCAATAAGTCAGATACGAAAATGGTAGCACGGGGTACAGGACAAAGATGGGGAGCTGGTGGCCGGATGATAGGTCATCTGTTGGATATCATTCATTCTTTCTCTTTCTATTTATGAACAAGCACTTGGCAGCCTGCTTATTGACCATCTTCCCAAAGGGTTTTTACTTTTTGGAGGCAAGACAAGATCGTTGTCGGGAAGACCATGGGGGATAAAGTGAGCGAGGATGAGTGGCCAGCCTCTCCTGGATTGTTCGTTATCGCAGTTTGCCGATCCCCCGAGCGCCACTGCCCCAACCATGGTTTATCTTCCCCTCCATTGTTCCTTATCCCGAGGTTAAAGGAACTATTGAGATTTTTGAGACGTTTGGAACCAAAGATGGGTTGTCAATCCGATCCACTAAATCCAGGCACGTTGGCTTATCTGGATGTTTACTTGCTGAGGCATGGCATGATGAATGATTGTCGCTTGTTGTTCTCCACGCAAGGATTCACAGTATAGGTACAGTATGTACAGTAGTATATGCCAGTCCAGGCTTTGCGGTGGACGAATGAGGGAAACCACCGTGCTCACGGGGAATGACTGAAACCCAGGTGATGACGCTTGTCAGCCACAGTCCTGGTGAACGTGATCCCATCAAGCGCATCAAGCGAGTCATCAGCTGCACGTCTTCCCTGTCGCTGATCGGAATTCCGTTAGCGCGGCCGGTGACTTGATGGCTGATCGTCAAGTTGATGGCTGGGGAAGGAGCAAGAAAGAGAGTGGGAGGCTTGGAGGTCATGGCGGTGCCGGCACAGCCATGACATCAGCGAGTATGTCAAGTCAACTGGCGGGTTTGCAATTCCTCCACTCGCCGCCAACCTGCGACGGAGATACTTTCCATCGAACCGAACTGGATGTGATTATAAGTCATATACTCATATACTCATAACTGCGAAGCGCCAGGAGTATGCACGGAAACTCTTCCCACTGCAAATCACGTCGGGGTCCAAATCCGGTAATTATCAATGTCATCATGGCCAGTGTCCAGCACTGGATCCGTGTAACAGAAGTCATAGCAGAGTCATAGGTATCTAAACCACACACGCAATACACACCACTCTCCAAAAAAGCAGTTACTCATCCATCTGCCATTCGTAATCCAACGCCTCCAACCTCCCCTTCCGATTCCTAGCCGCAAACCACTCCTTCTCGAACCCGTTACTCCGATCCACACCATCCCACCGATGGCCCGGCCGGATTCCATAGCGATTCGGCTGGAACGCCCCCTTATACAAGGGCTTGCCCGTCACACTGGTACCGGGCCCGGCGGTCTTGGTCAAGAACTGCGCGGCGGGGTCATTCCAACGCTGGCGCGCCTTGAGCTCGTCGTTCAGCTCGTCGTCCTCGGCGGTGCGCGCCAGCGGCATCGCCTTGGCCTCCTGTAGCTGCTGCCGCCTCTCCTCCCGCTGCTGCCGCTGCACATCGCCCATGAGCGCCTCGCGCGCCTCTTCCTCCTTGAGCTTCTTCTCCTCCTCCGCCCGGCGCGCCTCCGCCCGCTTCAGCGCCACATTGATGATGCGCCCCGAGGCATCACGGTAGATCGTCTCCTGCGCCTGCTCCCCAGCGGCCGCGGCGCTGCCCTTGTACCGGGCCGCCTCCAGCTTCTTCCTCCGCTCCTGCGCCGCCACCATGGCCGCTGTATCCGCCGCCGTCTGCAGTCCCGCTCGCGCGCCGGACTCCATCCTCATCCCGTCGTAATCGTCTTCATCCTCATCTGCAACAACCGGCGCGTCGTCCTCATCCTCGCCGTCATCCCCCCCACGCCCGGCCTTCCGTTCCGCCGCCGCAGACGCCAATATCGCATCCGCCGCATCCCTCTCCGCATCCGCATCCGCGCTGCCAATCGTCTTCCACCCAGATTTCTTCGCCCGCCGGAACTCGCCGCCGGCACCCCCGCTGCGTGCGCCCGACACGATCGCTGGGTTATATTCGTCATCGTCTAGGTCCCGGGCGCCAGAGGCGGCGCGGAGATCCGGCGGATCGTCATCGGCAATGATGAGGCCGGATCCTTCGGCTTTGGTGGTCTTCTTGCGTTTCTTCTTGGGGCGGTCGGTCGGGGCCGGGTCGGCGGTCAGGTAGTTTTTGGCGAGGTAGTCTGCTAGCGAGGAGGAGGGCATTGTAGTGTGTTTTATTTCGCGGAAGGTAGGTCTCAAAAACGTAGATCGATTGTAGAAACAAGTAGTGGATGTGTATAGACGTGAAAAGAGAGAAAAGGTAGAGCAAGGTAGTGTTCAGAAACTCAAAAGAGCAGTGTAAAGCACCGACCTCGTAAACTCGGGAAAGCTGCCCAGCCCGGTCTAAACTGGCAGCTCGGAGGATGAGTTCTGCCGGTAATCTATTGCGCCCCCGTAAAGTACAATACCATACTTCTCACCCCCCTCCACCCATAACTGACAATGCATCTAGATCTATCAATGCAGCCGTCAGTCATAATCAATCCGCAAACCCCCCCTCTGCCCCCTTCACCATACCCATAGAGCTCAAACACCTCCAGCCATCGCTAACCTCACACCATATACACATACACCCACACAAGAAAAGAAATGCCCCGCTCCGACGAAGCCGAATGGTGGATCAACGCCGTCTACGAAGCGATCCAAGAAATCCCCCGCGGCCGAGTAACCTCCTACGGCCATATCGCCTGCCTCCTGGGATATCGTACGTATCACTGCATGCAGTGCTAGCTGCCTTTTCTAGCCCCCTTCATATTCTTAACGAGCCTTTATCCTTGGCTTCCCCAGGGCTGTAGATCACCCAACTAACTCCAGTAATGAAAACCAGCTAAACGCCCCCGCCAAGTCGGCGTAAGCCTCAAACATCTGCCCTCTGCGCCGTCGAATCCCGAGACAGAGACAGTTGTAGAGGCAGAGGCAGATAGCGAAGAAGAGCCCGCCGCAACCCCATTCTTTCACTCCGGGAACGTCCCGTGGCAGCGCGTGATTAATTCCAAGGGGATGATTTCGCATCGGTATGTCTTCCCTTGAACCACACTTGTCTCTGGGCTTAAGGTGGGTTCTCGAAGCGACGTGTTTTTCTTGCTGATTTTGTTTGGTGCGGACAGAGGACCAGGAAGTGCAGAGCGGCAGGCTGAAGTGCTGCGAGCGGAGGGCGTGGAGGTGGAGGTGGATAGTATGGGGGAGTACTATGTGGATCTTGGGCGGTTTGGGTGGTTTCCGGATGTGTTGCCGAGTGAGGAAGGGTTGGAGTCGGATGGAGATGGGGAGGGCGAGGGGGAGGGGGAGGGAGAGGTACGTAGTGATGGTGATCGAAATAGAAATGGAAATGAGTTGTTTGTCTGATGTTCTTTCGCTGCTACTCTTACTGCCTTCGGGATATAGATGTACTGTAGGTCTGTCTCAGATAGAGCAATATCTCGTAAGAGTATGGCAATCAGTCCTAGTAGCAACGAAGTCGTCGGTCAAATAGACTTTCATAGTGTGAGAGCGGGATGGACTTCTATGAGGGTAGAATATTTGAAGCGAAGAAAATAAAGTGTAAAGAGGGTCTGTGGAGGGGACCGGCACAGTAGACGACCATGCAATCAATCATGTGTAGGGCAATCATAAACATCCAGTCAAACGGGCCAGTAAGGAACCAAAAAAATATAGAATATAAAAGATCCGCCTCTCGAAATCATACCAAAGGAAACTCGTCGCCGGACTCCGCGATGCGCACAGATATCACGGGTCCTCTCTCATTCCTAACTTGCTTTTCGTGGGTCTTTTCCGCTTGCCTTTATCTCCGTTTGACCTCGGTCGCCCATCCGTCAATCCCCTCGCCTCGACTCCCAGGGAGTATGCCCAGGTCTACCGCCTCCATGCCGAGCGTGTCCTTCATCCATTCATGGGCAGCCATACCGCCAGCGTTGGCTCGTCTTTCGGGAGAGACTTCGAGCATCGGAAGGAGGAACTCGCTGATGCGCAAGCTCTCCTCCACGCTGAAGTGATACTTCTCCCGTAGCACGTCAGGAAGTGACCAGTGGCGCAAGCGGTGAATGTTGCGCAACTCTCCCTTGCGGTTGAAGATTTCCTGGGACCACTTCCCCGATAGGCAGAGAGACTTGGGGAACGGGCCCAACAGCTCGATAATTTGTGCGATATGGTCGTCATCTTTGCCGTACTTGGTGCCTGATTGCGGGTCGAACAAGTAGTCGCCTGTGATTAATTCGAAGACCTGTTGCACGGTCAGAGGACAGACGCAGTAGCCGGGATGTACCTGCAACTCACCATGCATGCCATACTCCATATATCCGTACTAGCTCCCCACTTGGATCCTAGAATGACCTCAGGCGAACGGTATTGTCGCGTCTGGATGTCATTGGTGAAATGATGCCCAACCCAGCACGCATTGCCCAGATCGGCAATCTTCACGGAAATGATATCACAATCCAGCTCATCACTCGGGGTGGAAGACTTGTCGAGCGAGATGCCCGATACCTCTCGTTCCAAGAGATCACTAACACCAATGAGTACATAATCTTTGACCTTCATTCCATCGGGAGTAGACATACGCAGTCTTTTCTCTTTGTTTCTGTTTCTCATCTTCATCCTTGATGCCTAATAACTCTTTCATGGACGCAGCCCCCGAATTAGCCTCTGTCACTTGCGATTAGCGATTTCTGAGGCCCAGAAATCTTTTCTTGAACATACCTGACGACTCGTTCATCATCTGGCTGAGACTGCTGTGGGAATTTTGTGAACTGTGTTTAAACTCGAAACTCGTGTTGAGGGGACTGGGCAGCGGTTGGCTTCCAGTGATCAGGGTGCGGCGCCGCCGCCGGCCGTTGCGGTTGTCCTCCTTCTGCTCCTTCTTGGCCTCCTCCTTAACGTACGTTTTCACGATCTGCTCCACGTCGCCGATCTCGATCAGCACGTTCTCCGGCTTCAGATCGGTGTGAATGATTCCACATTCCCGGTGCAAGTAGTCCAGACCCAGCAGCACTTGCTTCGTAATCTGTTTGACGAGCGGCATAGGAATGCCGCGATGATTCCATCGCTTGATCAATCCAAGCAAGTTTTCTCCCAGCACTTCAAATACCATGCAGACGTGGACACCATTGGGGCCCTTATGCTCGAAAGAGTCGAGCAGACTGACCACATGTTTGCGACCAGGGTGGGATGGCTTCGCTTGGACGATGCGATTCAGCAGCTTGATCTCGTCGATAGCGGTTTCGGTATAATGAGCGGCGGAGCGAACGACCTTCAGGGCGACGTGCTTGCCGGTCGTCGTATCGCGGGACAGCCAGACTGTCGAAAAGTGACCCCACCCGAGCTTGCGCACGACCACGTATCGACCATTGTTGTAGGTTTCTCCGACGCTGACCGGATGGTAACCGCCCTTGCAGTAATCTTCCGAGTCTTCCTCCTCAGCGGTGGTCTCCAGTTCTTCGCCGGAGGATGAGGAGGATGAGCGCGATGGCGGGGCGCCGTATGCGGGATTCCTGCCAGACATGGCGGTTAGAGGATTTTAGGAGAAGAAAAAGCGGGCTGGGAAAGTGGGCGGAGCAGAAAAACAAGAAATTAGGCAATCAGATGGGATGGACCCGAACTCATGGACACGATGGAGAATATGGGGGGGGGAAAAGACGGGCGAAAGACCATACCCCTCAGTAGTGGTAGTCGTTTGGTCGACAGGCGCACCGGGTTCGTTGGTGACGATCGGCTTTAAGTCGGTCCCTTTTCTTCTCTTCTTACCGCCATTGCCATTAGCAGCGGCCGCAGCGACACTAGCCATCTGCTTTCCCTTATTGATAACGGCTTTGGTGATTTCAACCCCGTCCATGGTGATGTTACAAAAGAATGAGTAACGACGGGGTGGATATCGGGGGGAGGTTTTGAAAATGACGGAGGCGAAAGTTTTGGGGAGGGGAGGAGGAAGAGGAGGGAGGGGGGGGCAAAGAGAAAAGATAGATAGGCCGGAGGTTGGGGGGGTGGATGGCGGGCGTTCAACTTGGTAGCGCGAAGTCCAGTCAGTCAGTCAGTCCATTCAGTACCTGTAGTTGGTGGGTGTGGCCGGCAGCGGCAGGCGGGCGGAGAGGATACAGTAGGGTAGTAGTAGGTAAGGTAGGTAAGAAAGAGGTAACTCAGGAACTTACTGGGTAGAGAGAGTGTTGGGTTCTACGAATCTGAGGGGTCGTCTTTTGGTTTGGGTTCGGGTTCAGCAGCGCCCGCAATGAGTTGTAGGAAAAATATGAACTGTAAGAAATCGATGGTTCAACAAGGCGCACTTGCACTTCACAGTCTATGAACCAGATTAGTCGCAAGGAATTTCTTCAACCAGGCGATGAGATAGTGCAGCATGCAATGCATGAACCTGGAAATCAAAGCCTAATATTGCTCCAGGCGAAGAGTACTTGGAGAAAGACGAGGGATGATGCACCGGAGTTATGACGCAAACGATATAGACGGATCGATGCAACAACCACCAACCACCATCCGATGTGAGCCTGGTTTCCACAACTCTAGACCTTCTCGGGGAATAATGCGCTTCAAGCAAGGGAGAAGCAAAACTGAAGAAGCGAACAATAGACAGGAAAAACGGAGTGCCGATGGTAGAGATCAACCAGGAATGTCCGCAAGCGTAGATGCGGGAGGGAGTAGTTAAGTTGTGAGGACGAGAGAAAGGGCGAGAGAGAGAGAGCACGCACACGAAGCAACACAGTGTTAAAGGCTCACAACCACTATTTGCATTGAGGTGGCAAATCAATAGATTTTCTCAGTTGGGCCTGAATGGGCAAGAAATCAGTCCATTGTGAAGAAGAGATCATATCATGTTCAGATCCCAGGAGAGAAGCAAACCTGCTTGCTTATACAGTATATGAAATTCTAGAACATGCGCTGTCGGCGTGGCAGTTGTCGTATCTATAGATGGCGTTGCGGGAGAAGAGGGGCACAGACATTAACTTACTTGCTATATACCGTGGAACTTAGTCTGTTTATACCCATAAGCTGGATCCAGGAGGAGTCAAACAGAGTACGATAATCGACTTAATTAATAAGTATGTGGTGAGATATTGATTGGTCTTGTTCGTGTTGCATGCAGAGAAAAGCTTCTAGCTTCGAATCCGGGGTTCTACAGTACGAATCTACCACAAAATGTCCATCCACACAACCATCCTTCCCGCTAGGACTTGTTCCATACAATATACAGGCCTACTACATGCTACCAGGCTGTTACACAAGATATAATCTAACACCTCCCCAGCCATATCGGAGGATCCCGCCCGTTGGCACCCGATCGATCTAGGCTTGATGTCACTCAATGCTGGCGGAGTCTATGATTCAACTAACGGATCGGCCCATGCGGGTACATGTCTGAGATATGATTGTGCTCTGAATCACTCATTCAGCCCCAGACTGTCTAGCATTGTATGTGTGCTGTCTCAGCCAGGTGCATGAAACGGTACTCGACCAGGACAAGGGAGGCCGCTAGGATCTCTTATGCACCGTATTATAGAAAGTACGGAGTACCTGGAAACCTGAACCCTGAGGCATCACGGGTTGCACTGGGGAAAATCAAGGCAGAGCCAATCATGACGGGCACGAGGCCAACCAATTCCCCCACCTCCGCAAAGACTCGGCCTGAGCCTGAGGTTACGTAGGCCGAGGAACGAACTGGAACCCCAGGCATCGACTCAGTCGGGTCATTGAAGCCTCAGGCCGGCCAAGCACATGGAAACCGCCCAAGCTTCCAACGACTCCATCCGATTACACAATTACTTGCAGAACTGGCTGAGACAACAACAACCATGGACTAGTCAACTTAACTTACTCATGTACTCACCTTGAATGCACCTCATCTTGACTCACTCTACCCACCTACACTCCCTCATCTACCTCCAACCATGTCCTCGCCCTTCCACCCCCGCCCATTTACCGACTACATCATCTTCTCTCCTCTAGCCGCCTTCATCTACCCCGTGCACCACCTCCTCAATCGACTCCGTGGACCACCACGACTACCGCCCCCGAACGCTCGTCCGATCCGCGTCGTCTGCATATCCGACACGCACACACTGGAATGGGCCGACATCCCCGATGGCGACCTCCTCATCCACGCCGGGGACCTGAGCAACGACGGCTCGGTGCGCGAGATCCAACAAGCCGTGAACTGGCTGCGCCGTCTGCCGCATGCCCATAAAGTCGTCATCTGCGGCAACCACGACAGTTACTTCGACGTGCGGTCGCGCCGCGCGGAAGACCGCGACGACGCATCGACGACATCCTCGTTCGCGACCGTCTCCTCCTCGACCGCCTCCCTCCGCTCCCTCCCCTCCGACGACCTCGACCGCATCGACTGGGGCGACATCCACTACCTCCAACACAGCTCAATCACCCTAACCTTCCCCGCCACCTCTCCCTCCCCTCCATTACCATCATC